GCGCACAACCCGTACATCCCGGCCAAGGCGACGCGGGCATGGAAGGGAAGACGAGACCTCGGGGTCATGGCACTGTACGGCATAGCATGGCGTAGCTTAGCTGGCATAGCATCCTGTGGCGTCTGGCATATGCAGCAGGATGTGCCGGGAATCAGTCGCTTGCTGGACTTTGAATGCCACCGCACTCCGGCATCAAGTTGGCAAGACTAGTCGTTCGAAGACACATGGGTCCTGCTTCACAGCCCATTTGTGCTAAGGAGATTATCAAGATCTTCGTTCACTCGTCCGAGGAAATCCTGACCCTACGGAGAGGAGGAGAAGGATTCAGAAGCGCCAGACGAAAGCGAAGGTGGACAGCAGGAGTTCGCAGCAAGGGATAACGTCGAGCACACCAGAGGCGAAATCAGGAGAGGAAAATGCGTGCTCGCTTGATGCAGTGTCGCACAATGGAGACCATCATGTTCAATCTAGCAGAATCCAGCATCTGCAGGTGTGAGTGGTCCGGGAAACTTCTTCTGTTTTTTGCATTGGCGTGCTGGCTGCACAGGCGTCCTATGCGCGCCTGCGGCAGGGGCTTGACGTGGATGTCGTCCAGGAGTGAAGATGAAGGTCCTGGGCGGGCTGACTTCTGTCTCCGCACTTTTGCCAGTCAGGACTCAAGAATATCTACCATCTTCACGCGATGGGGCCAAAGCAGCCCCAGAGGTGACCTGGATGCTGATCGTGCTCTTCATTGCTTCCCTGTTCTTCTCCAACCCATCAAAATGACGTGAAGTAAAGGCCTGCTTTCAGTTGATTCACTAGCACGCAATGGGCTCGTCAAACGTGCAAGCACACATGCTGACATGCAGGGGTACATTGTTTCTGTCATCACAGACAGACCTCGTAGTCGTACATCATTCACACGATCTCGCCTGTCTTTCCTCCTTCCGGCTGGCAAGAGATGTATGGAAGGGGTGGGATCACTCGATGGAAGCCTGCATTCGAGGCTTGAACCCACACACGAAGAAAACATTGCAGCGAACCGTGCGGGCTGGCAGCGGCTCAGTTTGCAGTGTTATTTTGTGGGCACGTTTGGTGTAAGTTGCCGATTGTAAGATGCTGCGTAGGCTGCTTAGGATAATCATGATTTTATCAGCTCATGCAGCGCTTTAGTTGGTTTTGGGCCAAGGAAGCGTTCTGCGGCCCGCAGAAATCCGGGAAGCCCTCTCGTCGATACCACCAATGGCCAGGGCAAAAGTGGCAACGTGCCTGCAACAACTGAGAATTCGAGAGCCTGCTTACTTAGGTCCTTCCTGGTGATGCTCTCGTCGAGGAGGATGATAGTGACAAGGAGGCGGGATACCACCCTAAACCCTGAACCCTAATTAAACCCGAATTCAACCTTAAACCCCAAACTCCTACACCCTAAACCGAGAAAGATTGCCATATTGCCATATTTACAGGGCTTTACCGGGGGGGGGGGGGGCGGCAAAGAGATTTCAGAAGGTGGAAGCCGCTGAGTTCCATTCCATCACGGACTCCGAAGAAGAGGCGCAGGGGGAAGGGTCGGCTCCTGAGACTCCGTGGTTTAGGGGTTAGGGTTTAGGGTTAGGGTTTGGGGTTTAGGGTTTAGGGTTCAGGGTTCAGGGTTTAGGGTTTTAGGGTTTAGGGTTTTAGGGTTTAGGGCTTAGGGCTTAGGGTTTAGGGTTTAGGGGGTTTAGGGTTTGGCGGTCTGTTCACTACGCAGGTTGCAGGAGTGTCGCCTTGCCGAAGTGTGATTTCAGTGAGGGGGATGTGGGCTGTGCTTCAGCACCTGTTGTGGCAAGGCCAGGTTCTTCAACTGCAGTTTAGGAGAGGAGCGATGGCTGCCCTTTTTGTCGTGATGATTTCGGAGGCGGACAGGCGTGGGGGAGGCTATGGGTGGCGATGCCTAACTACCTCACCACCTCCCTACATACTACCTATCTGACCCGCTTCCTGCCCCTTGCTTTTGTCCAGTGTTTGCTGAGGTTCGGGTATGATCTGCGAAAAGCAGACTTTCCGCAAGGCTTGGATCTTTGAGATGTATCTGCCGCAGAGCCCCCAATGTCCAGTTGTTAGGAGTCGGCTTCGGTGGCACTAACTAGTTGTTGGTCACGAGTCAGCATGGAATCGCCTCGAGTAGGTGAGGTCTCATCGATGCCTCGAAGTAAGAATGTCTGCTGGCAGGTGACGGGGAGCACAGCTGGAATGTTCATGACGCGCCGCTTGCTCAGAGGGTTTGCCCTCGCACCTTTTTTGCCTTTGAGTCTGCAAGATGGGATCACAGGACATACGACTGATGGCTTCTGCGTCAGGTCTACTTACAAGCTTCGATCAGATAGTTATTTCCTCGATGGGACGCTCGGCTCGAATGCTATTCTGCATCATCTGTCACCCTACTTTGGTACCCGATTTGACTCCAAGCGACTCTTGAGGTCAAAGGAACCCTCAGGTCGGAGCCTAGAATTCTGCATGTGGAGTTCGCATGTGGCCTGTGTGAACGTCTCCGTCCTTAGGTCCTGCCATGCTGCAGCTGGTGGATGTGGATGTCAGCCTCATTGGACCACGTGGGCCCGTCGTTGAATCAGTGGGTGCCTTTGTGCGAGCGTCGCTTGCTGCCACTGCTAGCTGCTGCCGTGCGAGTACACGAGGCGACGCATCCCGACTTTTCGTGCCAAGCCTGGCTCTCAGTGTTACCACTGAATTTCTAGTAGTTCAACTGATGCTCGGCCGTGTTAATTCTGACCCCTCTCTGCAGTGCTTTGTGCTGCGTTTCCTGTCACTTTGTCACGTTGTCACTTTGTCACTGAGTGCCAAAGTTTCTGCTGGCCCATGGCATCTTCAGGCAATCAGACGGCGCGGGGATAGACGTTTCCTGTTCATATTGAACTTCATCATGCCTCCATACCAGGCCTGAGAATTCGTGGCATGAGGACATGCTGACTTGTTGGAACTGACCGGCCCTCAGACCATCATGACTGCTGCCCTCGATCCATCATCTGCCTGGCTATCGGGGACTCCACAGGCTGCGACTGCTGAAGGTTTCTGAAAATTGAGTGGCGCGTGATGTTAGTAGACTAGCATGCCCAACAGCCCAGGCGTGCTGCGCCTTGGTTTCAAAGAGGAAGCTGTCTGAAAACGTTGTATCCCGAGCCCGGCTCAGTGTTTACGCTCATTTCTTCATTTAGTCATTTTTTCTTTCTTTCTTTCTTGCTCTCTCCCTCTCTCTCTCTCTTGCTCTCTTCATTGCTTCTTTCCGTCATTGCTTAATTTCTTATTTTCTTATTTTCTTCATTTCTTTCGTTCTTTTATTTTCTTTTCTTTCTTTGGTTGACTCTCTCTTTCTGTCTCTCTTGAGCAGTATACGTATACGGCGCTGTGCGAGTGAACTCTCTTCTTGAGGAACGCTTCACTACGGTATATCGTGCATACAAACAACCACGGCTCATCCTGCAAGATCCTTTAGACTTCCTCTGTGGCAAGCTCTGCCTCAGGGGCGTGTGTGGCAACGCTTCTTGGAAGCAGGCCTGGAGGACGCTTCGGGCTTTTTGATATGGTGTGTCCACAGAATCTCACTAGCTACATGGTCGTCCGTTGCGAGGAGCAGAAGAAGAAGCTGAAGGTCATCTTCTCCGTGGAGACGGGCCCCTGGGTGCTCCTGGCCAGTGCAGGGGCTCTTTGTCCCGGTCCAAGCTGGCTCCCGGCCTCTGAAGAGTCCTTCAGGTGGTGAAAAAAGTCGCCCTCAAGAAGCCAACGCTGATCGGCATGAAGATATCAATGGCTCCGGTCTTAGAGTCATGTAGACGAAATTCTGTGACGTTCTGTGGTTTTGCGGCCGCGGTACTGAGGAAAGCCACTACAAGCCTGAGGAATATCTGGAGATCACGTTGGACGTGCAACTCCTACATGTGTGAGTCTGCTGGGATGCTGCATGTGAAGTTACAGGGGCTGTGATGCTCACCAGGTCACCAATGGAGGGAGGGGTGGAGGCTACGAAGAGATGGCTTGGGCCTCAGCTGCTGTTGTCGTCTGGTGTCTCTGTCCTGATCAGGGCATCGTTTGCAGCGAACGTGTATTCTTGCCATGGCTGAGGTGACTCGCATGGTCTTGTCTCCAAGCTGCAATGGCAATCCAAGCTAGTACCTCGATGATGGTGGTCTATAGCAGAGAAGCGCTCTTAGGCGACACGTGAAGAGCTTGGAGTGTGGCCTGTGCTGCCTGATCGAGGCTTGGGCTTGTGAATTTGTGCAGCTATGTGGGTTCGCTTACCTTTGGTCTGCTGGATTGCTGATGGATCTTCTACTGCAGCTTTCGCACTTTTCCCGCCCTACCCAGGCGACTCAGGAAGACGAGCTACCAGAGTGCAGAGCTAAGGGCATACATACCAGTTGTGGGTGGTGTGACATGTGTAGAGAGATTCGTGAGATCAACGTGCCAAGAGGTGTGCGCTCTTTGCACTCTTCGTGTCGCACCCAGTCGGGTACTGAGAGCTGTTCCTCTAGCCGTGGAGTGCTCTGTCACATGTAGCCTTACGTAGCCACCACAGTGTCACCACAAGCGTCAATCCACACCTTGCCAGGACTTCGAGCGAATGGCGCTCGCCGTGTCTGACTGAAGCATACTGAACCGTGTCATCATCTCACTATTCTTCTACCGGGATTCTACCGTCCTGTTTGTTTTCGTTTGATCTCCTTCCGGAGGCATCGCTGGTTCGTAGGACTCGTAGCACGTGGTACCTGACGCAAAGATCGGGGCTTATGGTTGTGCCGGCGTGGCCGTTCAAGACGAACGGCCGACAAGTGCGCAGCACGATGGATTTATGCTACGTCCGTCATGAAAAGAGATCGAGAAAGGATTTGAAAGGATGCCGGTGCGAAGGCGCGGGAAAGCAGCCTAACATTCACAGCCTTCGCGCAGCTCGTGAGCTTGAAGCGCTCCCAACGTAGTTCAGGCAGAATTTGCAAGGAATGTGTGTTTAAACGTTGGCCCCGCGTCAGGCACTGGAAATGCAGATCCGTTGACGGCACCGGCAGCGAATTGGATTGGGCCGTGCGCAGCTCACCGCTCACGTCCTCATGTCCTCATCTGGTTCAACCACTTCGCTGGCTTCAAGCTCTCCTCAAACTTGGCATGTCGCCTGTAATGTTTGGCTCTCTTTCCTGTGGGTTCCCCCTGGCCTCAAACAGTTTCAACTCAAAAAGACCCTGTTTGTGCATGGAGGCTTTTGCCAGTTCACTGCAGAGGCCATTTGGCTTTAAACTTGAAACGCTTTAACTTGACAGCTGACGATGGTCAAAGAAACGGCCTTTTGAAGAGAAAATGTGACGTTAAAATGGTCCCCAGACACCTCAAACAGGGGTGGAGGTGGGGGGGGGGGGGGGGGCACCGACAATTTTGAGATCATCAAGTGAATTTACCCCCATTCCTGGATCCAACTGTCAAACCTTGACCCAAATCCAAACCTCGTCAGACTCGCAGTGATGATTGTAGTCAACTTGTAGAGGCGGAGCTTGAAGCAGCGGCAAAAATACGAATCAGAGACCAGAGGGTCCAATCAGAGACCAGACACACCGAATCAGAGACCAGGCTCAGAATCAGAGACCAGACAGGCAGAAACCGAGGCAGCGGCAAAAATACGAATCAGAGACCAGAGGGTCCAATCAGAGACCAGACACACCGAATCAGAGACCAGGCTCAGAATCAGAGACCAGACAGGCAGAAACCGAGACCAGATTCCAGAATCACCCCCCTCAGGATCAGAGACCAGACAGGGCCGAATCAGAGACCAGACAGGGTGGCATCCGAAACCAAAGGGACGTCAAGGGAAAGCAAAGGGTTCATTGTTGTAACCACTGGGTTGACCGAAGTCGCTAGCCACGGCTTCTCGCACTTCAGGATTTAACGTGAATGAGGGTTTGAGGTTTACACGTGAGGCTTTGGGGTTTAGGGTTTCGGGTTCACAGTTTAAGAAGCATCCACAACACAGATTCTTCCGTATCAGGGCAACCGAGGCATCGTGGGTTTGGAAGGGATTCGCTTGAAGCAGGCCTGCCCGAGGAAAATAGAAAGGGCGCAGCCCCCCCCATTTGCAAACACAATGCGCGCATCATGGGTTTGGAAGCGATTCGTTTGAAGCAGGCTTGCCCGAGTAAAAAATACAAGCGGGGGGGTTGGGGGGGGCGCAGCCCCCCCCATTTGCCAAGACAATGCCCGCATCGTGGGTTTGGAAGGGATTCGTTTGAAGCAGGCCTGCCCGAGGAAAATAGAAAAGCGGGGGGGTTGGGGGGGGCTGCGCCCCCCCCATTTGCCAACACAATGCCCGCGTCATGGGTTTGCAAGGGATTCGTTTGAAGCAGGCTTGCCCGAGTAAAAAATGGGTTTGGAACGGATTCTTTTGAAGCAGGCCTGCCCGAGTAAAAAAAAACGGTACAAAATAAAAGCGGGGGGGGGTTGGGGGGGGTTGCCCGAGGAAAATAGAAAAGCGGGGGGGTTGGGGGGGGCGCAGCCCCCCCCATTTGCAAACGCAATGCCCGCATCATGGGTTTGGAAGCGATTCGTTTGAAGCAGGCTTGCCCGAGTTACAAACAAGTTGGGTTGGTCGGGGTCGGGTCAGGTAGACTCCTCTGGGGCGGGATGCTAGGTCGTGAGTCGGGTCACGGGTCGGGTGGGTTGCTTGGTCAGGGGTCAGGGGCCGGTCGGGTGGGTCGGGTCGGGTTATTACTGCGTCACAGGACGGACCGTGCCGACAGCATTCTGCCACGAGGGTACGTCATGGTGGCTGAATGCATTGGTCTACTCTTTCGGTCGCTTCGCCCACTGCTGCGGGTCCCTGGCTGCTTGGGTTGGGTTGGTCGGGTTGGTTGGGTTGGTCGGGTCGATCGGATTGGTCGGAGCGGTCGGGCGGGTCGGGTCCGGTTGGGTTGGTCTGGTCGGGTGGGTTGCTTGGTCAGGGGTCAGGGGCCGGTGGGGTGGGTCGGGTCGGCTGGAGACGGTCGGGTGCCTGATTCGGCGAGCCTGGTCTCTGAATCCCATGTCTGGTCTCGGAATCTGGGAGCCTGGTCTCTGAATCCCATGTCTGGTCTCGGAATCTGGCTGCCTGGTCTCTGAGTCTGGTCCCCTGCTGGTCTCGGATTCCCCCCTCCTGGTCTCTGATTCGGCCCTCCCGGTCTCGGAATCTGTTCCCCTGATTCGGCCTTCACCCGCAGCGGCGTCGAATTCGCAGACGAAAGTCCGACGAAATCTAAAGCCTCAAGGGCCTTCAAGCATACATTGTAGCTGGAATCTGCCAGAGACCTGATGGAAGTCGAAACCCCAACCGCCGCCGGCGACCGAAGATTCGGCAGTGTATCAGACTTCCAACAGGGCGGGACGAAGGAAATACGCACAGAGGAAGTCTATGGATCTTATGCGCATGTGAGACCTTTGCTCAAAAGTGGAAACATCTTTGTGAAACACAAGCACCGGCCGGCATAGGTACACCGGGCAGTGGGTTTTCGCTGTTTGAAATCCAGCAGCAATGCAGTAGGCGCCGTGCCACGGCCTCCAAAGCATACACAGCAGCTCAACAGTTTTGGGACACTTTTGCATGCGAGTGTCCAGGGCAGATTCCTTAGGGTCCCAGGTCTTTTCGCAAGTTGACGCAAAGAGAGTCGGGAAATTATGCTCCACGCCCCGCTGCGAAGCAAATGCCATGAGCTGTGCATAAGGCCTTCCTTGATTTGGGGTGATGCAGATGTCCGATGTGCGGGGCTGCCCAGCATTTTGAAAGAGGTGCAGAAGTCCTGTGTAGCCTCAAAGCCTTAAAGCAACTTCAAGTCGAAGCCTTATGCAACAACTTGCGGGCACCTTCGCAAGCATCAGGATGTGGATGTCGCGACCGGACGCGTCTTAACGGCCACTGTCCTGGCCTCCGAGCGGCCAGGTCCCCGAAGTTGCGTGCGGAGTCGAAGGTCAAGTCTTGGCCATCCTGGTCATCCCACGGCATGCTACAAGCCCAGCGCCTGACTAAGGGAGATCACCGCCAACCGCGACTACCAGCTGACCATCTTCGCGACGGGACCGCATAACTATATTAGTCATACTGAGTCGTGCATCCGAATGAAAAGCGGCCGCGCGGTCGCTATACGAACGTGCATGCTTTGCCAAGGTGAGAAACCCAACCCTCACGATTCCGCCTTATGAGGCAAGGCCCATCGGGTGGATCCTCATATGCCCCATTAAGCAATACATTCAACACACTAGCTGGCATGATCAGCTTTGGATTTGGACTCTGCAATGTATTCTTCCCTGCAACACCCCAAGTATATCCTCAAGCTGTGCCATGCTGTCACATGAGCCCGGCAGACCCAGGAGGCTGAGAAAAGTCAGTTTCACAGTTTCAGCCTCTGACAAGTAGCAGAGCCCACGTCCTGTGCCGTTTCAGCCTCTGACAAGTAGCAGAGCCCATGTCCTGTGCATGTAAAGACAGGTTGCGCAGCATGCTCTCAGATGTTAGCAGCGGAGCTCTTCGTGCAGGAAGCCATCTGGAACGTCTGGAACCTGGACACGTTCGACAGCCCATCATCATCTGGTGCAGGGTGCTCGGTGTAGATGCCTCCACATGGGGCGGGACATGCTGCTGATACATTGATACATGATGCAAGCGTGACTCCACGACTCGAAGACCGTCCTGCGAGGTTTTGCCCACCTTCCGTGACTCAATCACCATGCCCAGGGCTCAGAGCAGTTTCGATTCGTTTCGGCCGGACTGTAGCTCGCCTTGCATCAAGCAAAGGCCGGGCTACCCCGTCTACAACAAAGCACGGCAGTGGGTGGTGCGCAATCAGGAGCACCCTAAAACCACTTTCTGCTGATGCTATGGTGTTCCAAAGCACGCGGATGTGACTGGCACTGGCGAGGATCCTGTCACTGGTCAGAACTACCGCAATGGGCTGTGAGCTCAGCTTCCACTGACAGTTCACAGCTCGTGACCACGGCTGAAAAGAGGCTGTACTTGTCGTGCTTTATCGTGCTTTCACAGGCTTTCTGAGATCCCTGGTCTCTTCGTTCAGTTCCAGCTGCCGACGAAGTTGGTACCAGGAGATGTCAAAGCCCAAGAGTCCAAGCGAGTTAATGATGCTGGAAATGTGGCTGAGGACAAGGTATGAGCATACTGCAATAAAAGAAATACGATAATAAAACACATAGCACTATAATCATATACTTTTGCAAATCATGTGCATGAATGTGCATGAATGTGCATGTGGCGCATGTGGCCCACGTGGCCTCGGTGGCCCCAGAGTGCCCCAGACTGCTCAGGTCATATCCATCGAAGGTCCAACAGGCTTCACGTTCAAGACCGCAATGTCCCAAGCTTCTCCATGAAGACTTCTTCCCCATCGCAGGTGGCATGTGGGATCATGTAGGTTAGCTCTCGACACGATCAATGCATGCCAAGGGCGCACAGGATTCATGTGATGACTTTCGATGGGAGCCGGTGGAGGCCGGGAATACTGAAAGCACTGAAAGCTGTTGATGGAAATCCTCTCCACACGTCCATGCCAGGATGCCTATCTCTACTTGCCGAACTCTTTGATCACGTGCGTCAACAACATGCTTACCTTTCAGGAGACCTCTTTCTGGGTTTAGGAGTCCTGTCTCTGCCATCTGAGTGACACACGGACCTCATGCAGGTTCAGGAGCCCAAGAACATTCCGGAACTGCGAACGATGATGTTCCGGCTCACATCTCGGAATCCTGCCAAGACGCCGCACGCCGTGGGCTTAGCCCAGCTGAAAATCTTGTTTTTCAGGCGTCGTGACGGGTTGTGGATAATCGGATGTAGAGCAGCTCGCCAAATTGAGATGCTACAATGCGAAGGTTTGACATACGTAGTATGGCCAAGTATCGAGAAGCAACGGCTCTGAAAGCAATCTGTTGAAACCGAAAATGTATATTTCTAGAACTTCATTTCCCAAGCACTGTGCTCACCCTATGACGAGCTTCCGGACGCAGTCAACTTTGACGGAACTTTGGGTGTGAAAGTGGAGTTACATAGGGTTTCGATGTATTGGCTTTTGGGAGAAGCTCGTTTAGTTCCATTGAACATTGGTCAGACCTCTAGCCCTAGTCACCTATTGCAAGCTCAATTAGATTCGTTTGCCTGCTTCAGCACATTAAAGCCGAACGAAGCTACTTTACTCTCCAAGTAGATGAGGCTACAGTTGTAACTTGTAACTTAGGGTGCTTGGAGCCTATCTATGCAAACACACACGAACGAACGTAGCACAAAGATACAGAATGATTTGTGGGTATCCTAATGTCATGGCATAGACTGGCTTTGGAACACTAACAGGAGCCCCTCAATTCGACGAATCGCCGTGTTCGCAATCAGACGGCTCGGCGTTTCCTGTCCTGCCTCCACCAAGACCTTCCTCAACCACTGGAGCATCACCCACACGGCCAACGGTGCAATCATGAGCACAGAGGCAGGCATGCCGAAAGCTGTCATCAGCTGGAGCTAACACTCCTCAGGGCACTTGGCTGCTTCTTATGGATGCTTCTGTCATTGCCAGGCGGTCAAAAGCTGGGATGTGGCCATCGGCTTAGCATACTTGTAGGGTGAGCGCGCAGTTTATCGCACCGAGCTCCGCAAAGTCGACGCTGCAACGCTTAGGTTCCTCAGCTGGCCAACGTTAGGGTCATGTTGGTGGGGCAGCAGAAGGCTGAGAATTCGGTCGCAGCCTCGGTGATACCTGGCAGTCGTCGCGCATGTGTTCCTCTTTGCATGGAAACACTTGGCTCTGGTTGTTCCACGTCGCTTTTCCCATTTTTGGGGGGATTTGTCAGGTGTCCACGATTGCTGTCTCGTACAGACCCGTCTCCGACGCAGACGAGCTCAGCCTGGAGGCAATGGGGAGTCTTTCTGCCAAGGTGGAAAGCCGAGAAAGCCCTGCAAGCCCTACCCCAGATTCCCATACTGAAAACCACACGGAGTTCATGACCCTTAAAATGCAACACCCGAAGCTTTTCACCCGATGGAAGCTTGATCTAAGTCCGGGCTCCTTCTGTTCACCCAACTGCAACTTTAGGATCCCCAAAAAGGGGCTCAGCAATTTGATCAAACCCCCCCCTCCCCACTAGGCGCTGGAGCCGACCGGCTTTGACTTCACGGGTGCTTCAGCGGTTTCGCTGGGCCACGAGGCCTGAACCCCAGGAGCCCCAAACTCTACACCCCAAGATGCCCCCAAGATGCCCCCAAGATGCCCCAAGATGCCCCCAAGATGCCTATAAAGGCCCTAAGCCCCAGAAGATGCCCCGAAAGGAAGGGGCGGTTTTCGTGTCCGACTGCAAAGGTCATCGCAACCAATGCCGAGACGATCCGCATTCGAGCATCCATGTATGCGGAAGCCGGGCGCACAGAATCAGTACAGGATCGTTCTGCCTTTGTTGCGTTTTGTAAGGATGTGTTCCTAGGCGAGCCCTGCCTGTCATGTCTTGTTGGCATGAGTTTGCCACGCGATTCTCTCAAGTAGCCGAGGTCAACGTGGACATCGTCATTGCAAATTTTAGGCTTGGGCTGAATGGGGGCCCCACGCTCTTCAACCTGATTACCAAACTGAACAATGGCGTCCAAGCCTGAGGTGTGAGCTCCGCGTGCTCTGTAGAACATGCTCTTTGGACTCGACACTTTGCTGCATTTGTGGCACGTCGCGCCTCAGGATCAGATGGATGAGGCCCTTAACTTTCGTGGTGGCTTCCGATTACCTGGTAGAGCAACTTGTCAAGAACCTGCGCGGGTCAAGCTGGTTTCGGTGAAAGTGTCTTGCTGCTGGGGAGTTTTTCATCTAGTGCTGGGTTTCGGATGGGGCCAAAAAAGCTTTCGTGCACCGCGAAGCTGTTCCCATTCCTGCGTCATAGAGCTTTCGTCCCCGCTGCACCTTACAAGTACAGCTCTCCACATTCACACTTCAGCCGCCGAGGTTGCCGTCACCGGAAAGCAGATCAGCAGTGAGTGAACCACCTGCCATAACCACGATCAATCGACACCCTACATGTTCTCACTGGCTGTTGCCCACCTACCAAGCGTTCCAGTCTTCCTGGGCACATGGGGACCTAGCGCTTTGTGGCCATGAGGTACAAGCTCATGCCAGAACTGTATCCAGTTCCGTCTCTTTGGGAGGCCCTGAACAGAGCGATGTGATGGCGTAGGGCCCTTTTCCTCCATGATCTCATGGTCAGGTCCGCATGGGCGAGTTTGCAGCCATCGAGATGCCGTTCACTGTCACAATCAACTCTGGCGCCTGATGCTGAGAAACTGTCAGGTGACAGCTATGGGGCATTTGGCGGCTGGCTGTTGGCCGTTGGAAGCAGTCATGTCAGTAGTTCTACCCAGCAGGTTGCCCGAACCTGATCGCCATCAGGTCGGCAATCTGATGCGCCTGCGAGCTCCACCGTATGACTTGCAGGTCCGTGTGTACCTAGGAGCCGTGGTGAATGTCGGTGCCGGTCTAGCGAAACTCTGCGGAAGAACACCGAGAGTAGGTGCTGCCAGAGTTCTCTTAAAGAGTGTCGCTCTAGAAGCCACCACTAATATGGCAAGAAGACAAAGAAGTCGCCCCTCCTCGGCCCTGTCGTGTCGGGGCTCTTCACAGGGGTAGTAGGCTCTTTTGGGTACCTGGCTCCACAGGGAATGGAGGGACCCCAAAGGGCCTGCAATGTTATCGATCAACCCGAATGGGGTCTTTGGTGGTCTGGGCTCTCGGCAGCAAGGCTGCTGGCCTTGTAGCAACTGCCTTCTCTCGGCTCGTCGTCCCATAGGCTCATACAGCCTGAAAGGAGCGATGCATGGAATTCTGCCCTACCAGCTGACAAGAAGAAACGAGATTGTTTGCATGTGAGGGGGAAAGTCAGAGTCGAGTTGCACAATTTCGTGATCATGATCTTACGATCGCCTTTATCTTCCATTGCCCTTCCAATCCCTTCCATCGGGCACCGCTCCTCCCCTTCCTCCTTGTCATAGTCCATCAATGATGTTTTCATCATGATGAATCATCCGTCGTGTTTTATTTGGGCAGGCCCAGGACTTCAACATCATCCAGAGTGGAACGGCAGAAACAGTGACCTCTGAGGCCACGTCATGCACATGTCGTCGAGGCATGCGAATGAAGCAGCGGAACAAACTTGGGCATCACATCTGGCAGTGTCCAGAAAACGTATCGTAGAAGCGTGTTGTGTGCAATGTTGGCACCTCTTGCTTGATCTCTGTCCCCTCTAGCCGATCAGGAGTCTGTGCTTGCAGGTAGCTAACAGCTAGTAGATTGCTAGAAGTACCGTCCGTGCAGGTCACCAGCACATCATCTGGCGAGATGGTGGTCCGGCTTGGCACGCAGCTTTTCCGAGGAGTGTTGTACGAGGCAGTTCCATCAATCGTCGTGATGTTATGTTTCGGAGACTCTACTTTCAGCAACGGAACCCACCGTGCCAGGCGCAGGTGAGAGCGCTGACCCCGAAAGTCCCCAACCCCACCGATGCCATGTGGAGCATCGAGGCGCGTGTCCGGTGTCATGGAGAGATCCCGTCCGCAGCACCAGATAATGGGAGTTTGTGGCACCAGTTCTTGCTACGTACCATCTTAGCCGTTGGCACAGAACCGCTTTAGGGTCGTGGCGCCTCCAGCCATGCCAAAGGCTTTGCGGCCAATCTTGGTGTTTCAGGTTGTCCAGGTCACTTTAGCCAGCCTGAACGCCACGTCCTTGAGGCGCTTGCAGGATGAGGCTTGGGGCGACCAAGGCCACTGCACTGCGAACTTCAACCTGCAGGATATCAAGGCCGACCCGACCCACAATGACCCTAAGAAGTGGGTGGATGCCCACAACTACTACAGAGCCTGTCATGGAGTTCCGGGACTAGCCTGGGGGCCGGAGCTCTTGCCTTATGCGCAAGCATGGGTCCAAAAGCTCCTTCAGCATTGCGCAAGTGGGGCAGACCTCGAGGCATGGGTGAATGCACAGCCTGGCAGCGGGAGGCCTCATGATCCCAACCTCTTCACAACCGAGAGGCCGCAGCAGGCCGAAAACTTAGATGCCCGCCAGTGGAACTCAATAGATGATCCACCGGCATACAGTGTGGAGGATTGGTATCGAGAGGTCCAATCATGCCCGGGAAGTGGGAGTGAGCCTGGTTGTGGTGGTGTCTTGAATCACTACACCGCTCTCATCTGGAGGGATGCTCGACGTGTGGCTTGCTGGGTTGGGCTCCGGGGTGACCTGCGTATTGTGAGCTGCCGGTATGCAGCTGCCGCCGGGGGTACCGGCGAAGGTTGTGAGGTGCCCAACACGGTCGGGCCTCCCAACAGCGGGGGTTGCCAGCTTGGAGACGGCAACGATGGCAAGCCTGAGGTACCAGCCTTGGTCAAGCAATGCCCACCGATGCTGCCTAAGCCGACGGCAGGGGCGAAACAAGCAGCTCCACCAGCAGTTCCGGCGGCTCCACCGGCGGCTCCACCAGCCTCAGGGGGCCCAAGCTGTGTCGATCACATGTGTATGCTGAGCTGTATCCAGAAAGGCCAGCTGGGCAAGTGTGAGCGCTGCCTCCACAGTGAACAGTGTTCAAATGGCTTCTACTGCTGCCCGTTCATGAAGAAGTGTGTGAAAGATGGCGCGATGCAGTGCATGACCCCGATCGCATTCTGCCAGCCGCCTTGTATGGACAATGAGCCCATCGAGCAGTGCTCCTGCAATCCTAAGCTAAGTGATGACAAGTTCCCTTGGGGCTGGCAGAAGCCCACTTGCAAAGCTGGCGAGCAGCAGCAAGTGGTTACAACCACACCAAAGCCCACTTCACCACCCAGCAAGATGGTCTTCTCTGGCTTGAAAGATCTGGCCCAATGGAAGCGGCTGAGTGAGTTTGTTCGCAGCAAGCTTGTAGAGTGGCAAGTGTCCAGGCTTTGTGCGAGCATTGATGCGACGACACCCTCGCCGCAGCAGCAGGATGTTTTCTTGACCGCGAAGGCTACCTTTGCAGTCACTTTCAGTGACATGAGCAGCCTGACCCCGGCAACTAGCGAGTTTGAAGGCATTACGCCAGTGATCCGGCCCACCAGCCAAGCGAAGTTTGACCAGATATGCTCCGCTGGCGGTGCTCAGCGCTTGTGGAGCGTGGACAATTCGCAAAATTCACATATCTCGGCGGAGCTGCCGAAAGCAATGGATTACGCAGGCAAGGTCTTAATGGTAGGGCTCCTGTCGGCTCTGATGCTTCTGGCCTTGGTCTGGAGGCGTCCTCAAAGAGAGCCTTGGCACAAATCTGAGAATCGCTTTGCTCTGCCTTATGCCTTCCATGCTTTAGGCACTGTAAGCCTAGAATCGGCCTGAAAGCTTGTAGGGCTGCTTGGGTGGGGGTGGGCAGGTATCTGCAACGTTGGGCGCGGAATCCACGGATGAAGGTTCCAACCTGCTTATGTCCAACGTTGCTTAGCTAGGCCATGCCTCTGCAGTGCCTGTAGCACGGCGAGGAGCCCCAGATTTCACGAACTTCTTACTGTGATGCTTCTGGTAACGTGAAGTCGCACACAGCTCGTCTTTTATGTTGCCGATATTGCCGCACTTGCTGAAAGCAAATCGGTGGCTCATCCAACAAGCCTCGTTTTAGTCATTTCAGTCTCAATTTTCCGCTGTCTTCTGGGAACTAGAAGAGCAGCATGGGACTCATGACAGCAGCATAGCCATACAGACCCAAAAAAGGGCGTTACTTGGCATCCTTGAGACTAACCTCTCTAAAAGATTTAAGGTTAGAAACCCAACAAAAAACAGTGCTGGAAAGGTTTATCTAACCTTTGCTTCCAGGCTCCCCACCCACATTCCCATAAACTTGGCCCCTTTCTGTGCACACTTCACTTACTTCATGCGCTAGATGTTCTCGCTCTTTCATTCTTTCTGTGCTCCAGTTGATGTGCAGATCCTGGACGGCGGCGCGCTGCCGCTGAACACCAACGACGGTCTCACCGAGGCGACATCTTTCTTTTGCTGTGGACTCTCTGTTTTTTTTGTTTTGTTTCTTTTCTCCTTTTGGATATTGTTTCGTTTTTGTTGTTGTAATATTTTTTGTTGTCTTTGTGCACTGTCACTTTTTCTTGCTTCATGTCTTTGCAGGGCTTCCGCCTGGTGGAGCGTGCGGAGCTGACCGCCGCGCGCTTGATACCGATGGCAGCAGACGGTAGCAGCTCCGCAGTGTGCTGCAACGTGCTCTGCGCAATCGCTGATCCATAAGGGGGCTTCCGAAATTAGGGGTGCCCTTTTTGAAGGTCCCTCCAAGGGGATTCTATTCTATTTGGGGAAAAGAGGGGTATGCCTACTTTGGGAAATGCCCACAATTCTCGATCGCTTCGACGAATTGCTGTTTGACGGTGAGGTGCGGGCATCGCGCTCGCCTCCGATGGCTCAGATTGATGTTGACGTCCTCGCCTCGTTTTCTCTTTGGGTCAGAGGTGCAGTGCGCCAGTGCAGTGCCAAAGCGTTTGCTGATCTGGCTTCTCCCGGCTTCTCCTGGCTCCCAGTTGGTGGTGGACCCGAAATCTGCCCAGCCGGATGAGCTCATCCTGGTCGCACCACTGGGCTTCAACTTCACGCCGCTCCTGAGCTGCAAGTTCAGAGTATGTCATGTCTTGTCTCGCTTGAGGGATCTTGACATTTGGTTTTCCGCCGGAGCGTCAGTGAAATTCAGGAACTGTCTGGTGACGAGCCAGACGCCCAGTCAGCCTCTTGTGCAGGGCCTGCGATTTCCACCAAAGCTGCAAAGAGGTGCGTTCAACCGAGTCACCTCCTGCCAGCTGTGAGAAGCTCAGATACAGCCCACGGGCTTCAGGTTCGTATGGTGCGTGTGCATGTCTGAACTCAGCAGGGGTGTAGCGAAAGGTTTGGCAACGTGGCCGGACGAGCTTCAGCTCGCCTCAGGATGGCACGCGCGCGGCTCAGAAAAATGGACGATGCTGCTCTATGCAACATGGGGGGGTGGTTTATGGGTTTTAGGGTTTATAGGCTTTAGGCTATAGGGTTTATAGGTTTGGGTTTATAGGTTTTAGGGTGTAGGTTTCTAGGTTTTAGGGTTTTTTCGAAGACTGTGAGTCAGGCCTGACAAGCGTGCTCGAGCAGGTCGCTGGACCCTGAGCGGTGGAACATTGGACAATGTGCAACTCACGTAGCCTCACGGAGTCTCAGTTGTTGCTGAGAGCCAGGTCATCAAGGTCACAACGCCGGCGCAGAATCCGCCCAGCAGCAGCTGGTTCATAAACGAACCTCGGCTGCACACACCCAACATCACCCAACGGCAAGCCAGTACATTACACACTCTTGTTCTGTTTGTTGCACACGATTATAATTGCTACTTTTTGTTACTACTGCTAGTCCTGCTACTTCTTCTACAGTTACGCGCTCCGCCAATCTTCCTGCCTTGATTGCTACTACTCTCATTGGTATGCTGTTGTTATTCTTGTTTTTGCGCACATCGCCATTATCAGTGTTATCATTGTTGAAATGATTGACATGTGTTGGGTATTGTTACTGCTGTTCGGTTTATATGCATATATACACACTTTTTTCCTGGCTGTTGTCATGAAGCATGGCCATTGCCATTTCGCTGGAAAGCGGGACGGAGGCCAGAGACAGCGCCAGCGACCTGCAGCTCGCCTGGGGAGAGGATCAAAGTGGAGTTTCAATCCGGCAGATGTTAGGTCTGGACCTCGGAACAATATGGGGGTTTACGAAAATAGGAGACCCCCCAATCTAGACCCCCCAATATAGACCTCAAATAGTAGGTCCCCTTATAATAAGGACCCCCAATTCAGGTGCCCCCCTAATATCGGAACCCCCCCGCCCAGTATATCGGAAAGGATGCAGAGTCGGGTTCCTGTCTAAGCTCAAGGTGCCGATGTCCTGTATCCCGGCATTCCGCAAATTCCTGGGCAGATGGCGTTCAGTTTTATCACCAACGCGGCCTGCCTGAGAAGTTGCTTCGAGTTCGTTGGGTTCAGCATCAAGTTCAACATAGTTCAGCATTCTGCTGGCACTGCCTTGCCGCAGGTGTGTGCGCCTGTAGCTGGACTGTAGCTGTTTGAAGCTGTGGGCACCTGTGGGCCGAGGAGAAGATAGACTCAGGCGGAGCCATCCGTGTTGGCTATCCGACGTTGCCTCGGCATGTCTTGCAGTTTGTTACAGGGCACGCTGAGATGTTGCACGCACTTTGGCTTGCCAGGGACATCGAGGTCCTGTGCGCCGGAGCTTACTTGAGCCAGGCAGGCATCCACTTCATCAGGTGTAGATTCACTGCAAGTTGGAACAGCCTTGGACATCAGGTGGCGATCACCGGTCAGGTGACCTGCATGAACTATGTCCAGGAGGTGTGACAGTGCTGGTCAACAGGGGGTCTTCTCAGCATCTTCCAGACTTTGTGTCAGGGCTACTTCGAGCTACGGCTCGACAGACCACTTCCCCCTGGCCAGCAAGCTTTCACAGCCAGGGCCTTCATGAGCAGGGTCTGCGACACTGCGCTGCTCTCTCTTTGCTCTCTTCTCCTTGCGCTGGGCGAGAGCCGATGATGCCGTTGTTTGCTACTGCGAAGTCAGGTCACCAGCACGTGCCCCGCAGCTGTGAATGACAACACTTTCTATATCATCATCATGACGCCGACGGGTCAGGCCAGCACGGCAACGCCTAAGACTTGGTTACGTTGATAGAACGTCAATGAGAGCACTCCACAGTGCCAGGTCTCAGATGCGGCAATGAGCATTCCTGGCCTGCGCATCCAGCACGGCCTTCCGATTTCGGCAATGCCTTTAATCTGGGGTATGGCCGAGCCGAACAGGCTTGCGGTTTGCACATTCATGGGAAGAAATTCTGAGATATGTGATCTATTGCAGCGGCGTTGTCTTGTCATGGCTCAGTCCCATCAGGAATACGTTTGTCAGCACGGGTATTGAGCTGCTTGGAGAACTGCCGCTGAAGGCCAGGCATGAAGAGCAGTTCCCTTAGGTTACCTTGCCTTGTGCCATGTGCCGTAGATTGTCCTTGTAATGCAGGATCCTCCCATCATGAGCGAGATCATCATTCAGATGCCTCCAGACTTTTCTCATCAGGCACCACGCGGGGGCCATTTTCATAACAGAAGACCTCTTTGGGACCAACCGAAGGTGCAGAAAACAGCGCAGCTGGAGACCCTGACAGAGCCACTTCCGCGAAGAGAAGGCTCGGAGCCCCTGCCACTGAGAGCGCTTTTTTTGAGCACTTGTGTGAGCGCTTCTCGAGCGCTTGTTTGCTTCGTTTTGCTTCGTTTTTTTGGTCGTCCCCCTCTCTCCCAGGAGGCTGGTTGGATGTCACTGACCCTCGAAGGCCGGCAGTCCACTCCTTCGTCCTCAGTCACTCCTTCGCCTTCCCCCAATGCAAAAAGACTAAGGGTTCTCAAAAATTCTGAGACTGACAGGCTGAGACTGCTCATGGACGAGGAGGCCATACAGAAGCTGGCCATTGGCTCATACAGGCGATCACGCAGCGACGGGAGCCGAAAGCAGCATAAAACAGAATGCTGCAAGTGCGTTGCTTGCGTTTCTTGCTTCCCATGCTTTGGCAGGTTCCAGTGGCCCATCATGGTTCCTGCTGTGATGCCAAAGTACAACGTCATGGACTTAGGCACTTGAAAGGCGAGTCGAACGCGGGGTTGGGGTCTCACGACAAAACGGCAAGCACGAGTCTGACCAAAGGCAGGCGGCAAGACAGGATGGGTCTTGGGATCTTTGTCAGATGGACACCTCTGCGTGCCTGTCATATCTCGTGAGAAAGGTGTTGCACAAGCAATCTAAGCTACGAACTCTCAAGTCCACATGTGTTCCGTCTATTCGTTGGGGTGTCTTGCTTTTCTGTCGAACTTTTTTGGCAGTTTGTGTCAGTGTCTCTTTTTCTTTGTTATGTGTGTGTGTGTGCTTTGGTTTGCCCTGAAAGGCGAGGGACGGGCGCATCAGAGTAGAAACAACAACAAGGGTGGAAATGAATGCTTGAAGCAAGGCACATCTGTTTGCAGTATGCAGAGCAACGGCACAAGGACATGTGCACCGTGCACCTCTGTCACGGGTTGGGTCGCCGGCAAGTTTGTTGGCCCATTCGTGAAAAGGTGAAGGAGAACTCTTGACGAATGCACATGCCAGTGGACTGGCCATAGTGGATGTAGTGGGAGTCTCACTTGTCCTACAATGCAACGCCGAGGTCTGGGAGCTGACTGTTTGCAGTCCAGCCATTCGGAACGAGTCTTGTACCGGCTCCAGCGATCCGCGTGCCACTTCCTGAGTATGTTCGCAGCTGCTCATGTGGGTTGCGTTCGCAGGGCTTGCAAAAACTCGTCGTCCTAAGGCTTTGGTGAGCTTCCCTCTAGCAGGCTTTGGGATGGGCGAGGCCTGGATATCGCGGTCTAGCAAGACATTCAGTAGCGCAGCAGCTGCTTCGTCTTGCCTTTCAGAACTCTCAGCCTTCCAGCATGTTTCTCCTGCTGACGGCTTTCTTGTCGACGGTGTGCCTACGTGTGAGACTTTGTGCGGATCATATGATTCCCAAAGCCCTGCAGTCTCATCCGTCTTCGATCGCGTTTACCCAAACTGGTGCTGCATGGCCGGTTCGGGCCAACTGGTCGGTGGAGAGCTTGGATTCGCAGCAAGCATACATGCTTGTGAGGAGTTCAAAGAGTGGCCGTGAAATGCCAACACCTTTTGCACTTTGAGGTGCTTCTTGTGCTCCTCTCAGCCTTCGCCTGGAGACATTTGCGGGAAGCCTGAGGCTTCACTGCTTTTGACGGAAGCCTTGTGAGCTCCTTGAGCTGGTACCATGATCTTTTCTTTGATAGCATCGGAAAAGTGAACTCACATGGCTCAGACATCTTGCAAAGCATATGCTGGCCGGTGTACAAACAGACCATCAGGTCTCACATAAGTAGCTAGCGAAGCGAGAGGAAGCCCGGTACTTCCTCGCTTGGAGCGAGATTGGCTTCCAAGCGCAGATTGACAAAGAATGACGCTGTGGACACCGCAATCTCGCTCCACGACAATTTGCACTACTGCACCCGTCATAAACCCTCCAAGTCATTTGGTCCCATGCCACAGGACCGGTGTTGTTCAAGGTGACAGATCATTAAGGAAGGCTGTTGGGTGCACCCCGAAGTCTCGACATGGAGCGACCCGACAGGCGCATGTGCGCACAGCTGCACAGGCCATTGGAGCAAGGGCGCGGCTGCCAAAGCCCGAGAACCCTCCGAAACGGGGACCCTCCCTTGCTGTTAACGATGGTTTCACTTCCAGACTCACTGGAACATCGAAGATGTCCAGAGGTGGGTGTGCATGTGGCCTTTGTGGCTCCCAGCGAGAAGTTGCTTCGAGCCTGTTGGCCCAACTGGCATGGGGTAACATGTCGAGCTCCAAGCACTTGATGACTGCAGTTAGCGCCCTTTCATGTCCATCATGTGTATCCAGGCCTGTGCTAGCCGGGTGCTATAATTTGGGACATCGAAGTTTCACTTTGGTAGATCGGCCCCGTGAGACATGTGACACATGTCGTCCAGCAATGCAGAAAGCAGAGTTTCTGAGCTCATTTTGATTGACAGCAGGTCCGACGACTTGGAGTTGACTCTTCGTTGCTCTCGCCAGGACACCCGACTGGCTCATGAATGGTCCAGCCAAATCCTTCTAACCGGTCGACTCGTGTGTCGTCATCATGTCATGTAGCTCTGGATCTAGCACAGATTGAGCCAATGTGTAAACCCTCAGATAGCTTTCGTCATTGTGTTGGCTTTGGCACTTGCGATGGCATCCACCACCTCGCCACGACCTTCGCCACGTGTTCTCGATGCGGAAGGTGCACACAGACATAGTTGCCTAGCTCTATGCCAAAATCGAACACATGCCAGCCTGCTCCAGGCAGTGGCTACGGCGCAAGTCAGCAGCGCGTCAAGCCTGCAGCCAAGTACAAGTGCGTAGCACCCGGCAGCTCCGTTTTTCATGATGGGCCTATCTCGGGTTTCTGGAATCCCACTACATGCTTATGACTTCCGGGGTGCTTTGGTGCGATCTTGTGATATTGCTTGGCCAACCTTTCCTGCGTGTAAGTATGTAAGGGCCGAAGTCTGGAAAGCAGCAGAAAGCGCTGGAGACGACTTGGCACAGGGCTCCTGGGCTCCGAGGCTGCGCTTGCGGGCACCTGCAGGCGTCGAGGATGCTCCGGAGGCACGAAGCCGATGAGAACACGTGGCTCTCTGTCGCGTTCACGCAAATGTCTTGGCGGGTCTAATTACAGTCTAATTACCATCTGCCCCTTGGCTGCAGACCATATCTGTCATGCTGAGAATGCCTGGCATGTCCTTCAGGCAATCTTCAAGAAGGTTCATGCGAAGTTCATGCACCATCGACACGGGCCCTAACAAATGTCAACGCCAACGTCTGTTTGCATGCAAGTTTGATGTCTGGTATAACCTCTGAACAGATCGTGAAGCCATTGTTTGCAGCCATGGTTCTCCGGGGTTCGCTGGGCAAGCTCCTTGCACCTGCTGCCCTCGTTTGCCTGGCAAGACTCTTGACTAAGACTCGTTAGAAATCTGACATCATCTGACCACATTCCTCAGCAGCTCGGCGGAGAGGTGAACTTCAAGCGTCACAACCCAGACCTGCAGCTTGAGAGTCAGGGAGTGAAAGGAAGCGGTTCAATTTTGTTCAATCTTTCCACTTTACGCATGCAAAGGTTGAGGTACATGATGTCAAGCTGCCAAGGATATGGGCCAACAGTCTCTAAGCTGCCACTGCGCGTGCCAACCAGAAGCTTTGATGAGATGGATGGTTTGTTTGCCAAGTGCATCTCGCGCGGCATGATTATCAACCACACGCGCTGCATGCTCTAGAGCCCACCCTGAACACGCTGGCCCGCTCTCGCAGCAAGTGTAGCCAGTTGCAAACTGCTGAACCCTAGACCCTAAACCCCAAACGCCAAACACTAAACCCTAAACCCACATTCCAAAAGGAAGTCTTGGCACTATGCGAAGCGCCTCGGGCCAGCAGCGATTGTGATGGCTTTGGTGCTTCGGGTGGCCCTAGGTTCCAGAAATCAGGTTCTGCATAGTTCCACCTTTGAAATGGTTTTGCGGGCATGGTCATGATGGATTGCGGGCACAGCGTGTCTGCACGACCCCGTTGTTCTGTCGTTTGCTCAGCCACGTGACAAGGTCTCCAGCACGCAAGCCGGGGGGAAGTTCAAGCTGCATGACAGCAGCCAGGCATCATCGCAACATACTTCTCAAGCACTGCTGTGCAGCTGAACTACGAAATTGAGAAGACTTGAAGCTTCTGCAGCTGTCGGCATCTGCCGTGGTGCACTGCGCCCCTTTCCTTATCACTCAGGAGCCAGGCTATGTGGGTGCGAAAGCCCCAGAAGAGGAACCGTGGGCTTGGCTGCAAGCAGACATGTTTCTCGCCTGTGTTCGTCTCGGTTGTGCAAGGTGTGCTTGTCTTTGCTGTTGCCCATTGTTGGTTTCCGCTGTTTTTCCGTTCAGTCCGCCAAGTGACGAATGTGGTGGCTTGGAGTTCATGTCACTTGACGGCTTGCCAAGCCAGCTTTCAAGCTGAGCACGAGGAACCTGTTCGTAAACGCAGCCCAGAATGCAGCTTTCAGAATCAAACGTTGAAGCGCTTGAAGCGCTTGATCAACCGTCAGTTCCGGTACGGAAGTCGTAGTTCCATTCCTTCTGCCCTGCCAAAGAATTCCACACATTCTTTGCCGAGGTGGACAGTGCGTGTTTCGGATGAGGAGGGCTTGCTTGGGCAGCTGCCCCTTGGCTTCGACTCGAAGAAGGATAGGTTGGAAGGTGGGTGGGCCAGGACTCACAGGCTTATGGCATTCTCTTGGAGCTGGGTCGAGTTGTCCCCGCTTTGGGCTGTGTCATTGCATGGCCTGCGCCATCGGATTGAGGCTTCAAGCTAGCGTCATAATCTCTTCCTGCGCACCCCCTGGTGTCAACCAAGGAGTGCGGTCACCATAGCAAAGGCTGCTGCATCAATTCAGACAGTGGCCCAACTAAAGAAGTGTTCCCGGCAATGGGATTGCAGAGTAGGATGAGTACAACGAGTACCTTACCTGCACGCTTGAGTTGGACATCGCATTCCTTACACAAAGAGTAGGAAGGGAGAAGTTCTTCTTCACGCAAGGCAGGCTTCGTGGTGCTGCGCGGTGCTTCCGTGCTACGAGCCCACGAGCTCCGTGCTGCACAGGAAGAGGCGGACGAGGCAGGATCTGCCCACCATTGTTTAGTTGAGAATGCGTGTAGCGATCAGTTCTCGATCACTTGGGAAGCGGGTTTGTGGATTAACCTTCAAGGTGGTCTAGTCTGCCCAGGCACTGTTTCAGGTCAAGATGACCACCAAGGGTCTTGGATGCTTGGAGGCAGAAAGACAAGCTTGTTGTGCAAATGTGCAAGTTAACCGCGACAGCGGTTTCAGGAGCGTTTCTAAGAGCCCACAGGACTCGAGCCACTGGCTCCTTGGGTGCCTTGACAGCAGTGATGGGCCCCTTTCTGTTTTAAGTCTGGGACACCAATGCAACACCATGCAGCAGTGCTCTTGTACAGATGCATTGCTGGGGAGGCTGTTCCGAAGCCTGCACCAGCAGCTGGGAACTTGTTTCGGTTCCAGGCCATGCTCGGCAGCGACATGCTGGCTCATGGATGGCAACAGTAATTAACATATATATATATATATATAAATAATAATAATAATAATAGTAATAATAATAATAATACAATATCATATCATATCAGATCATATCATATCATATGATGGCATGCGCTCTGGGGAGCGAGTGCAGTCTTTCTTTCATTTTTTCAGCATACTCGTGTCGAGCGTCCCTGCAGGAGGCCTCATCGTTTTCGAGCGGCCGGCTGGACATGACATTCTCGGAGGTTCTGGCCCGGTAGCTGATGGTAACTGCATCTGCTGCCATTTGACGTATTTGGTGGATCCTGATGGACTCTGTCGTGCCTCGCAGTTCTGCAAGGGGTAGCACACGACAGTACAGTGCCCAGTGCTGAGCAGGAGGCAAAGTCATCTGGGCCGTTGGCTGCACGCCAGGCGAGATGCACCAGACAAAGCAAGTTTGCACGCGGCATGCGGCCTGCACTGACACCAAAGCGGCCAGGACCTCCTCCGCCTGTGCGAAGTCCTCTTCGATACAGACTGTGCCTTGCCGAGCAGTGTGTTTCACAGCTCTTCTCTGAATCGGGTCACCTTTGGAGCTCTCCCAGCATGAAGCATGTGAAGCTGAAGCAACCATTAAACTCTGAACATCCCTCTACGTCCCCAAACCCTACGACTTCCTCAGCCTTCAGTGACATTACTCGAGAGGCCAGCTGGCGAGCCGTGGCGCCTTCTGGAACTTCCCGGGATCGGGCCGGGAACATTGGCACCGAGACGGGCTGATGCCTTTGCACTTTGGATTGCTTTGGATTAGGTTGGATGCCTGCAGCTGGCAAAGCCTTAGGAGCTTAAGATCAGGGTCACCCTTCTGGTTCCTTGAGTGTTCCTTGGAAGAGATTGCATGGCTTCAGTATTTCTGAGGCTGACCGTTGTTACGGCGGCTCGGCAGTACCCTGACAATGCAGGCACCTCGAGTCCACCTTTTGACTTTGGGCATTGGTGAAATGAGCTTTAGACCAGAAGGGTTCTGATGCCGTTGATGTGTTGCACGGCCCCCAACTTTGCTGTAAGAAACTGGTTGAAGTGCAGAGTTGGGAGGAGCCACGCGGGAAGCACGATTGAGAAACCTGAGAAAAGCTCAGGAGCACATGGGCAGTGAACATGCAGCCACGAACCTCCGCGCACAACAAAGATGAGACAACCCGCCCCCTGTCGGACGGCAGCATCGAGAAGGGATGCTCGGTGGAGGTGTTGCTTCTGGAGCAGTTCGTGCGATGAGTCGTCGTCCCAGCCAGCGCATGATTTTGGCGGCATTGCAGCTGTTGCTGCATTGAAACGACAACATTGGGCAGGGATGCTTGGTATAGGCGTTGCTGTTGGTGCCTTTCTAGGCCTAGCAGTGTCACGCCAAGCAGAGATGGAGCATCCGTGGACATTCGTTCCTGCTCCGGCCATTCCTGTTGTGGCCCCAGCGGGAGTCGTCGTCCAAGCCAGCGCGTGATTTTGGACAGCATTGCAGCTGTCGCTGCAGGGTTGCTTGGTATAGGCGTTGCTGTTGGTGCCTTTGTAGGCCTAGCAGTGTCACGCCAAGCAGAGATGGAGCATCGGTGGGCATTCGTTCCTGCTCCGGCCATTTCTGTTGTGGCCCCAGCGGGAGTCGTCGTCCAAGCCAGAGCGTGATTGTGGACAGCATTGCAGTTGTCGCTGCAGGGTTGCTTGGTATAGGCGTTGCTGTTGGTGCCTTTCTAGGCCTGGCAGTGTCACGCCAAGCAGAGATGGAGCATCTGCGGACATTCGTTCCTGCTCCGGCCATTCCTGTTGTGGCCCCAGCGGGAGTCGTCGTCCAAGCCAGCGCGTGATTTTGGACGGCATTGCAGCTGTCGCTGCAGGGTTGCTTGGTATAGGCGTTGCTGTTGGTGCCTTTGTAGGCCTGGCAGTGTCACGCCAAGCAGAGATGGAGCATCTGCGGACATTCGTTCCTGCTCCGGCCATTCCTGTTGTGGCCCCAGCGGGAGTCGTCGTCCAAGCCAGCGCGTGATTTTGGACGGCATTGCAGCTGTCGCTGCAGGGTTGCTTGGTATAGGCGTTGCTGTTGGTGCCTTTCTAGGCCTGGCAGTGTCACGCCAAGCAGAGATGGAGCATCTGCGGACATTCGTTCCTGCTCCGGCCATTCCTGTTGTGGCCCCAGCGGGAGTCGTCGTCCAAGCCAGCGCGTGATTTTGGACGGCATTGCAGCTGTCGCTGCAGGGTTGCTTGGTATAGGCGTTGCTGTTGGTGCCTTTGTAGGCCTGGCAGTGTCACGCCAAGCAGAGATGAAGCATCTGTGGACATTCGTTCCTGCTCCGGCCACTTGTGTTGTGGCCCCAGCGGGAGTCGTGGTCTAAGCCAGAGAATTCAGCGCGACGTGTAAGAGTCAATGGATTATATATAGAGAGTTTGCTGCCGAGGAATTTGCGGGGGAGGCTTGCAGACAGTCACGGACCCTGGTTTTTAAGCGCAATCCCTGAGTCTGGAGAACACAGCCGAGAAGCAAAGCCCAGATTTCTTGCAGCAGGTTTCATGCGCCTGCAGCCCTTTACGCAGCTGGGCGCCATTGACGAAGACTCGGAGTCTGACAGAGAGCCGAAGGCCAGCTGGCGGGCAGTTTGCCGAGTTCAAGTTATTCGACTTGCCTGAAGCCGAATTTAAGAAGACCTGCTTGTGTGAATCCGTATTGTTTACACAAGCTTGGTGATTCTGCAGCTATGCGCCCACAAGAACCCCTAGACTCCCTCAACCTCGGACCCCAAAAAGCACCACTTTGATTTCAGAGCCAAGGCCGCTGCCGGAGAGTCCGAGCGCGTGGCCGCAGCGCTGCGGCCCGGGGAGCTGCTGCTCTTCCTGTACTCTGCGAAGCGCGGAATCTCCCCCAAAAAAAGGGGGAGGGCTGAAAGATGCTGAAAGTCTGAGGGGCTGAGGGCTTGGGCCTTTATTTCGGACACGCGCACTATACGCACACTAATGGACATGGTGGTGTGAGCACGGGGCACAAGACAACGGGAGCCTGGAAGGCATGCAGCCATCCCCAACTTCTCCGATTTCGATCGCTGCCTGCTGTACTCGGTGTACGGCCCCGAGGGTATCTCCGACGAGCCGTTGCTGCACATCAGGGTGCCCTGTTGCAGTTCGAAGGTTCCATTGACTCAACTGACCTGGCCTGCTTGGGAATAGAGAGTAGGAGCGCAGGACAAGGACCAACCAGTTGTGTACACCATGAGCTACGAACCAAGGACCTCAACATCAAGAGCACCGCTCCTTCCTTGTTTTCAACTTCGAAATCGAAGTCGTCTATGCTAGCCCTCATGGCGAAAAGCTTGAATTAGATGAGCTGAGTCGGTAGAGGCTGCAAAGTTTGGCTTGCCTGGCTTTTGCATGTAGCATCACAGCCGCACATGAAGTAGCAGCAGTGCCCAGAAGAGGCAGCTTTAGAGTGCGCAGATGATGGAGAAATATTTATTCAACCCAGTGTAGCCTGAGTCACAGTCACGTGCTTAATTGCTGACCGTGCTTTGATTCGGATTTGGTGCTAGGCCTTTGCCGACGACTCTCCGCAGACATGCTTGAATGGAAACAGAAGGCACTCCGCCGGCTCCAGTGAGCTGTGTTTTTTGATTTTTGTTCGAAGCCCTATATGCACTGATGCAATACTCCCCTGGACCAGCTCGGACTCTGGCCTCTTTGATGCCGTGCTCTTTGGCTTCCGGCTGGATACGGAGGAAGCACTGGATCAAGCGCAGGACCCCTTCCCCGGGCTTGTGCCCTTTGCAAGTGGTCCTTGAGTTGTTTCCAGGCCAACTTCGAAAAATCCAGAGCCGTGGGGCTCAGCACAAGCCATCCAGCTCTGTCAACTGACAGGTACAAGTAGGCCTAAGTAGACCAATGTTGCTTTGTGTCAAACGGTGCTAGGGTGCAAGTGGGCCCTTTTGTTACTGGCATTGTCGCTCCACATCAAAGTGCTCTTTGGATGCCTCTGTACATCAAGTAGAATCATTCGCATCCCCAAGCCCTCCAAGGCGTCTGGTGATCAGCGGACACAGGCACGGCTCTTTCGGTCAAAAGATGCACAAGCGAGGGGGAAGATACCTTATGACATGCATACCAGACCGGGTTCAGGCCTTAGCCTTAGCATGCTTTGAGTTAAGGGAATGTTCGTGGCTGCCATCTGGTTGTAAGATCCACAGTGAGGGAGCGTGCTCCGCAAGCTGCAGTGGGCTGCTGGACTGTTTGTATTGTGATTCAGTCATACTTGCAGCGTGCTCGGTGCGCTGTTGTGCAGTCTGCTGCGCTCCTGGCCTATGCGGATGCGGCTGCAGCGCAGGAAGCTTGATCCTTTCATGTGCCGCTGAAACTCGGCACGTGGAGTCGTGTGTGAAAGATGGTTGGAGCGGGGGCATTCGTTGCAAAATGCAGTTCACTAGGGACTAAGAGCACGGCTTCATGCAGTGCTATGCATGGGCACAGAAGTCTAGCGGTGATTCAGACTCTGGCTACGGGCTCAAGTGTCTTCTCAGCTCACGGTCCCTTGGCCACTCAGCGCCGTTTTGGCATGTTTCTCTTCCGCCAGCCTGCAGCGCAGTCCCCAGCTGCACCAAAGCCGCCAAAGGCCGGGCCTCCATGGCAACAGCTTTCGGCAAAGGATTTCCGTGTTAGGGCTCGCATGGCTCGCCTACTCATCCTCGTCGTGGCCCTTCTGTTTCCAAAGCAGAGCGCAAGCTGAGAAGGAGAGGATGTCATGCTCATCTCCTTGTTCCGCGATGTTCCACTGCACCATGCCTCACGGAGGCAAGCGGCGACTTTCGCTCCGGCGCATACGTTTGGCCGCAGCTCCTCCAATTCATTGCTGGGGTATTTGCGGCACTTGTTTGAAGCAGGAAAAGCAGAGTAGAAAGCGCTTGGAAAGACAAGCTGCTGCACACTTCTGTCTGTCCTCTCTCTAGCTTTACGCATCGGGTTCCCTTACTCCAGAGCCCCCTGCTTAGCTGAGGCACGATGTCAAGTTCTGCGTGACAGCTCCAGCGAGCCTCGGCCAATCAGAGACTGCCAGAAGGAGAGCTCCGGCTCTGAAAGAAAGGCATCAGGCGAACTTTCGGGCACGAAGAAATCGTCGCCTCGAGCGGAACAAGGTGGGGATGGAGGCACAAGGCCTGAAGCAATGAAATCCGGGCGGCGGTCGTCGATGTCACTTGTGCCCTGAGGCGGTACATGGCGGAATGTGCCATGAAGAAACTCTGGGTGCAAGAGGGTTTCGTGTCGAGCGCAGTCAATGCCACACGCCTACTTGAAACACCTGCGCTGCCGGGAGAAATCAAAGGGCCAGTGGCACGGACACTGACCGAACGAACACTACCCTACCCCTCCTGCCTCTTTCTGTGCAACACTCCAGTATTGCAGGCCCTCACTTTTTACAATGAAGCACAAATTTTAAATTGTAAACGCTTGCGCGCCACACCTCGGCAGCCGGGCTGGCCCAACGCAGGGTGTAGCGTCCCTGGGGGGCTCCCAGAGCGGTAGGGTACTTCTTCGTGTTTTTTTGGCGTGGTCTCTGTGGGAGGGCCACAGACTGGAACCCCGCGGCATCAGGTTGTGGCTTCCCCCAAGCAGTTCAAGCACAGGGCGGGGGAGGGTGGGGGAAACCCCAGCACTTTCCCATCGGATGCACTGGTCCGACTTGTCCTATGATTTTTCTTGGCAAGCTGGGACACAGAGGCGGCCAAGCTCGAGAGAGAACCAGCAAGAGAGCAGTTGGGAACAGAGGTTGCGAAACTCTGTTCAGGAGATCACGACCTGAAGTTTCCAGCGGCGATTTCCGACAGGACCGGCGAAGCTGGGAAGGTGCAGCAGAGTGTAACAGTGCAGTGTCAGACCGTCAGATCTATTCGCTTGCAGGACCATTACCTGCTCCCAACACCTCCGGGCAGATGGACCTGCTTCCAGCTTCAGCAAGAAGTCGGCAAACCCAGTAGAAGCCAGAAGAACCTCCCAGTAGAAAGTCAGAGGCGGGGGGCAACAACCAGAACAAGGGTGGATGACCATCACTTTTGCCAGGCCATGTATTGAGGCAGTCATGGATTGCGGCAGTTTTCATTGCTGGCCCGCTGAAAGTATCCTGTGTTTTGTTGTTTGGGCATGTTCGGGCTAGCGATAGCGGAGAAAACCGACGCTGTGGCACTATCTTGCCGTTGCCACGAAACTTCTATGTGGTGGCTCAGTGCTTCTCACATGCAAGTTGGAAATCACACTTCCCCGTTTCCACATGACAACCGCGCTAGCAAAGGTTCCTGTGGCAGCCAAGACCGCGATGAGGTCGACGCTCGAATCATTCTTTGCTTGAGAGTAGTATTGCCATGTGCAGTGCTTGGCTGGTACGCAATTTGCACGCAAGAGGGGCCCACACATCTTGTAGTTTGAGGTGCACGTGTCGTCATTGCCGATCATTTGTTGAAAAAATGATTGTAACATAGTGGCAAAAGTGTTTAAACCCCTGGACCGAAGGGCACAGTCTGGATGTACTGAGGACTTCTGTCGAACTTGTGGCTGTCCCTTGGCTTCTTTGGGCTCAGCTTAGCAAAGCAGCCTGGCAATCTCTGAGAGCCGTTTTGGGTTCGGGTTCAGGATTTCTGCGATGTCTGCGAAGTTGAGGCCCTTCCCCAGCGCAGCGGTGCCGCGAAGCAGCGGCCCGCCGCCAGCGGGAGGAGTGGCCGATAGTTCCCCTGTAGGCTTTTGAGACTTCGTGACGATACATTTGCAAACCCTTGCAGATGCACGTGGCCCTTGGTAAATCAACATGTGCGACGGCTGGCACTTCCTGAGTCCAGCTGCTGTCCCGATGTGTTGGGATGACTTGGACAGAGGCAGCGGCGGAGAGGGCGAAGAAGGAGCGCGAGGACTGGACAGCAAGTTGCGTTGCTTGTTGTGCGAGGCTTGACTGAGCCAGTCTTCGTGTTCATGATCACCGCGCTACTCGTAGGAGCGTGCAGCTGCTGGTCAGCTGACCTTTGAGGACGGCACGAGCCTGGGTGTCAAATGCCCATGGCGAAAAACGAGAACCTGCAAATGGGCATGTGTCCAGCAGACCCTCTGCTCCTTGCAACCAGAGTCTCGGTGTGAGCGTGTGGTCACAGAGCGGTCCTGTGAGAGGATATGGCGCATGCTCACTCTGCGGGCTTTGCTGAAGGGCTCTTTCCCAATGGCCTTCAGGATGCCGAGACATGTGCTGTGACCAAAGTTTTTTCTGTTGTGCATCAAAGAACCTACCAGCAGCCTGCCACCGTTCCTGAATGACTGGGCTGGGCTTCAGCAGGATCGCGCCGTGACAGCGAGAAAGATCGATGTCGAGGTGTGCTGGCATCTCCTTTTTCTGCGACCTATCGAAGTGGAGGAAGTTTAGGTACTCATAGCTAAGTCCAACGTTCGAACACACTCCCTGGTGCAAGGCATACACGAAGCTTCTGCGCCATGCAGCTTTCAGTGCTGGCCACGTTCCAGATTTCTGAATCCGGCGCTCTCAAGGTTCACGCGTTTCACGTGTAAGACTCTGCAAGACTCTGCAAGACTGTACAGTACAGGCAGGGACTGGCCGCTTCTCCCCCAGACGTCTGGGTGGAGCTCCTTTTGCCTCCTGCCTGTGAACCAAATTCCCAAGCAAGCGCCAAGCAACCTCTGTCTTGGCCTGGTACTGCTTGCTGACCGTGGAGGGTAGAGAACATGCCACACAGGCGGCCCCTTGGGGGATTTCTCTTCGGTCACCTGAAAAAGTCCGAGCTGATCGTGCCTAAACCGTCTCTGACTAGTGGAACATTATGGAACATCCGTGACCACGAAAGTGCACAGGAGGAAGCCAGCAGCTTGTCGCTGGACCCGGACCGCGAACTCGCAGAGGGGAGCATTGCGCTGCTTTTCTGGCTGCATAGACACGGAACTCACATGCCACGATATGCCACGTCAAGGACGACTCGGCAGTGCGCCTGGCACGGGAAGCGTTCAACCAGCTGCAGGCACATCCGGCACCAGTTCGTTGCGTCATGAAAGCTTTCGACTCCTCCAGGATGCTGGCGACATGGAAGGCCAGGCAGCTGGGAGCTGAGTGTGGCTCAGGCTTTGCCGGAAAATTGTCGGAGCTCCTGTTGGATCTGTAAGCGACACAGAAACCAGCGAAGGCGCATGTTCACGTGGTAGCCAGTCTCCAAGGCGGCACTGCATGTCCTTGCCAAGGCACGGCCGCTGAAAGCAAAAAAGCAATCCTCTTAAGTTCAGTTGCAACTTGAGACCGCTGTTTCTCTCTTCATTCTATTCTTGCTGCATCGCTGCAATTTGCTGCGTATCTGTATGTGCAGCACCGCTGTTTCTGTGCAGCTTCGAGTCTGCGCTAGAAGCCGCTAGAATCGAATCTGCTAGAAGCCGCTGACTTTGTTGAACGGCTGCGTCTGGCAACCGTCTTGTCTACACACTGACACCGTTGCATGGAGCCCATGCGTGTCAGTCACCTTTCTTTTTCCCCCCCCAAGCTGTGGGATCTTGGAGGCACACCTGGCCCGCAGCAGCTTTTCCGATGCTCTGAAGGCGGCCGAGGCGCACGAGAAAGCACAAGTACCCTGCAGCCAAAAGAACATCCCCATATTTCCTACTTGAGTGACTAATTAGGGTTTGGCGCAAGTTCAACGACTCCTTTCATCACTTGAAGGGCCATTCCCATTCACACTCATGACTCCGCCGCGTGCTACAATCTACCTGAACCGGAGCAGCCCATTGCAAGAGCTCATGACCCATTCCCCGAACGGTTGCTATCTGCCTGAAGCTCTAGGATGAGAAGATTAAAGTGGAAGGATGCTCTTGAAAGAGTACGGCGCGTGAAGCAGATGATCGACAGACTGATGCAAGTGTTTCATTGTGTCACATGCAATTTTACGCGCCAAACTTGAGTGCGGCAAACATCGCTTAACAAATACAATCGAAAACGGCTGCAGGGTCAGTTTCCAAACCAGTCTTCGAAATGCACGGAAATAGCACATTGCAAATCTGCAGAACATCCCTTCCACCAGGTCTTCGCAAGCGTTGCAAGCCAAGGCTATCAATAAAGCAAAAAGAGTTCTTCCCAATGATCTTCACGCCTCTGACTCTGCCGCAGCCGTGATCAAGCCGAGCAAATGTGAGTTTGGGGGCGGAAGCGCCATGGGCGGAACGCAGGCGTCTTTCTGTTGCTGCTGGGAGAGGCCCAAGCTCCCAGACCCTCGGAACCCCAGCGAGGAAGCCTTGCTTGCACCTCGCGTGGCAACAGCAGGAGACACGACAGCTGAGGACGAGCAGGTGAATCTGGAATTGCGAGTAGCCAATACTTTCATTGAGCTCAAGCCCGTGACCCCGAAAAGGAGGAGGACAAGGAGCCGCAGCCTCCCGAAGGATCTGAAGGTTTGCAAGGCGACAGAGGCGGCAGCAGGTCTGGCGAGCCAAGTGGCTTCGAACACGGAGGATGCTCCAGAAGGCCGCCATCAAGAACGTGAGGAGCCACCGCCCCTGGATCATCCTTTCGAACCTTACCTCACTTATCCGATGGTGGTGGCGGAGAGGAGGTTTATGCGAGAAGTGTTGGGGAGGCTGAAGTGGCGTAAGGTGCCAGAGAGGCCTCATTTTTGCCGCAACACGTGTCACCAGTGCTGCCAGCTCTGGAACGACAGTTGGCGCCTGGCGGCATGTGACCACAGACAACCTGAAGGGTTGCCTGGACAGGTTCCCGCATGCCGGGACCTGGACGTGATGCCCTCTCTGGAAGAGAGCGATCCTGAGGAGGATCTATGAGGATGAGACGGATGTTGCGGCCGGTGCAATCTTTTGAGGCAGCGAAGATTGCCCGGCATGCAAAATTTCTCCCTTCGGATCTGGGCAACGCGCTGCTGTCGCCGGTCGGCTTTGAACAGACGAACCACCTGCAACACCAGGCAGTGCAGCGCGACAGGCCCTCTGTTGACCGGCCCCGTGTTGGGGAGGGTAATGTGAGAAGGGCGAGCAGTAGCTGATAGCTGCGGGCAAATGGTGCTGCCTGCTCGGGATTTTCAGATGCGACGCACGATCTGGCAGTCTTCGTGCAGATTTCGAACCAGCCACTTCCTTGGTCAGCCGCTGAGGCCCAGAAGGACTTGCTGCAATGCGTTTCGACATGATGGGTTACGGCTCTGTACCGACCGGAAGTGTTCTGCCTTCAGATCGCGTGCTGCTTGATAAAAGGGTATTCGGCCGTGAAGCGACTCATGTTGGGACTTGATGGAAATTACCATGCAAGGCTTGAAACCGTTGCTACTCAAACGGAGGTTCTAGAGGAACGAGATAGCAATCAAACAAAAAGAGTTCTTCTCAATGATCTTCACGCCTCTGACTCTGCCGCAGCCGTGGTCGAGCAGATGTGAGTTTGGGGGCGGAAGCGCCATGGGCGGAACGCAGGCGTCTTTCTGTTGCTGCTGGGAGAGGCCCAAGCTCCCAGACCCTCGGAACCCCAGCGAGGAAGCCTTGCTTGCACCTCGCGTGGCAACAGCAGGAGACACGACAGCTGAGGACGAGCAGGTGAGTCTGGAATTGCGAGTAGCCAATACTTTCATTGAGCTCAAGCCCGTGACCCCGAAAAGGAGGAGGACAAGGAGCCGCAGCCTCCCGAAGGATCTGAAGGTTTGCAAGGCGACAGAGGCGGCAGCAGGTCTGGCGAGCCAAGTGGCTTCGAACACGGAGGATGCTCCAGAAGGCCGCCATCAAGAACGTGAGGAGCCACCGCCCCTGGATCATCCTTTCGAACCTTACCTCACTTATCCGATGGTGGTGGCGGAGAGGAGGTTTATGCGAGAAGTGTTGGGGAGGCTGAAGTGGCGTAAGGTGCCAGAGAGGCCTCATTTTTGCCGCAACACGTGTCACCAGTGCTGCCAGCTCTGGAACGACAGTTGGCGCCTGGCGGCATGTGACCACAGACAACCTGAAGGGTTGCCTGGACAGGTTCCCGCATGCCGGGACCTGGACGTGATGCCCTCTCTGGAAGAGAGCGATCCTGAGGAGGATCTATGAGGATGAGACGGATGTTGCGGCCGGTGCAATCTTTTGAGGCAGCGAAGATTGCCCGGCATGCAAAATTTCTCCCTTCGGATCTGGGCAACGCGCTGCTGTCGCCGGTCGGCTTTGAACAGACGAACCACCTGCAACACCAGGCAGTGCAGCGCGACAGGCCCTCTGTTGACCGGCCCCGTGTTGGGGAGGGTAATGTGAGAAGGGCGAGCAGTAGCTGATAGCTGCGGGCAAATGGTGCTGCCTGCTCGGGATTTTCAGATGCGACGCACGATCTGGCAGTCTTCGTGCAGATTTCGAACCAGCCACTTCCTTGGTCAGCCGCTGAGGCTCAGAAGGACTTGCTGCAATGCGTTTCGACATGATGGGTTACGGCTCTGTACCGACCGGAAGTGTTCTGCCTTCAGATCGCGTGCTGCTTGAGAAAAGGGTATTCGGCCCCGTGAAGCGACTCATGTTGGGACTTGATGGAAATTACCATGCAAGGCTTGAAACCGTTGCTACTCAAACGGAGGTTCTAGAGGAACGAGATAGCAATCAAACAAAAGGAGTTCTTCCCAATGATCTTCACGCCTCTGACTCTGCCGCAGCCGTGGTCGAGCAAATGTGAGTTTGGGGGCGGAAGCGCCATGGGCGGAACGCAGGCGTCTTTCTGTTGCTGCTGGGAGAGGCCCAAGCTCCCAGACCCTCGGAACCCCAGCGAGGAAGCCTTGCTTGCACCTCGCGTGGCAACAGCAGGAGACACGACAGCTGAGGACGAGCAGGTGAATCTGGAATTGCGAGTAGCCAATACTTTCATTGAGCTCAAGCCCGTGACCCCGAAAAGGAGGAGGACAAGGAGCCGCAGCCTCCCGAAGGATCTGAAGGTTTGCAAGGTGACAGAGGCGGCAGCAGGTCTGGCGAGCCAAGTGGCTTCGAACACGGAGGATGCTCCAGAAGGCCGCCATCAAGAACGTGAGGAGCCACCGCCCCTGGATCATCCTTTCGAACCTTACCTCACTTATCCGATGGTGGTGGCGGAGAGGAGGTTTATGCGAGAAGTGTTGGGGAGGCTGAAGTGGCGTAAGGTGCCAGAGAGGCCTCATTTTTGCCGCAACACGTGTCACCAGTGCTGCCAGCTCTGGAACGACAGTTGGCGCCTGGCGGCATGTGACCACAGACAACCTGAAGGGTTGCCTGGACAGGTTCCCGCATGCCGGGACCTGGACGTGATGCCCTCTCTGGAAGAGAGCGATCCTGAGGAGGATCTATGAGGATGAGACGGATGTTGCGGCCGGTGCAATCTTTTGAGGCAGCGAAGATTGCCCGGCATGCAAAATTTCTCCCTTCGGATCTGGGCAACGCGCTGCTGTCGCCGGTCGGCTTTGAACAGACGAACCACCTGCAACACCAGGCAGTGCAGCGCGACAGGCCCTCTGTTGACCGGCCCCGTGTTGGGGAGGGTAATGTGAGAAGGGCGAGCAGTAGCTGATAGCTGCGGGCAGATGGTGCTGCCTGCTCGGGATTTTCAGATGCGACGCACGATCTGGCAGTCTTCGTGCAGATTTCGAACCAGCCACTTCCTTGGTCAGCCGCTGAGGCTCAGAAGGACTTGCTGCAATGCGCTTCGACATGATGGGTTACGGCTCTGTACCGACCGGAAGTGTTCTGCCTTCAGATCGCGTGCTGCTTGAGAAAAGGGTATTCGGCCCCGTGAAGCGACTCATGTTGGGACTTGATGGAAATCACCAGTGTGTTTTTTCTGTAAAATCGAGAAGAGTATCTTAGATGGCTCATCTTGCCGGTTCAGGGTTAGCGTGTTGGTTGTGGGGTATGATTTTTACGGTTTTCCGTCCTGCAGAGGCCTCATCCCTCCCTCCCCCCCCTCCCCCGGCCGCGGGATCAGCGTGAGACCGCAGGGAGACAACAGTGAGACAGTAACGAGTCGTGTCCAGATGTGTCGAGGAAGCCCTGCAGCGGTTCCAATCACTGGGCCATGCCTCCGGCCAGGCTGCCACGCTGAATGCAGGGGCCTTTCAGCTCTGTTTGATGCTTCTTGGCTCTGGCAAGCGGCTGTTTTTCCAAGGTTCTTGCCCAGTCCCTTCTCCGAGAGGTCGGTTTCTGAGGATTTCACGAAGACGAGAGGCTGCCAGTTGCACCGACCTGCCAGGATCCTGAGGCCGCTCTGCGCCACGCCGTCGAAGGCCGCGATGCCTTCCGACGCCTCGGAGACTCCAGGCCAGGGCTCCGATGCTCAGATTCTGAGATTCGGCCTGATGTGCCTCTTGGTAACTTTTTCTGGTCCATGTTCACAACTGCGCAGGCTTAGGAGAGTTGTGGCGTCGAAGACTCGCTCTCTGAAGGCGTGCCTCGATGCTGGAGCGCACTGCCATCGGCGCGTGCCTCGCCTGTCTGGAGCTCAACAACCGAAGGAAGAACAAAGGAAGCACATGACATGACCTCACATGAGGCTCACGATATGGCTTTCTTGTGCTGAGGTGGGGACACTGCCCGTGCGCTCAAGGATGCGGAGGCCGCCACACAGCCGCTGGACGGGGTATGTTCAAGGAATGCACGAAGACATCTCTGCGCTGCCCAGTGCATAGCGGTTTCATGGATGTGAATCTTCCAGCCAGGCATCGGTAGCCAGCTGTCGCCGCGATCCTGGTGACCGTCGTGATGAGGCCGTTGAGAATGGCATCATTCCCGAAGCGCGTGACCACGTGACACACGTGATTTCCTGTTGGTGTTTCTGACCAGGCGGCTGCCATGGCTCTCCTTGCAGAGGCACCAACACATCGGCACAGCTTTCTGTCAACTCAGCCTGTGCTGATGTGCAAGAATGCCCGGTGTACTGGCCTGCCGAGGTTCGCAATGCCAGGCCGGTGCGGACGACCAGAATGAGCAGTGTAGCTGTAATTGAAGACGGTCAACGAATCATATCTAGCACTGGGCCTTCTTTGATACGATTGCCCGCCACACCTTCAATCACTGCGGCCTGTGGCCCAGGGAGGAATTTCACCTCGTGGTTCCAGTGGCGGCAGAGGCAGCTGAGATCTTCGCGGCTTGTGGTGACCAGAGGAATCAGGCGTCGGTTGCCGGTCGCCGAACGATGTGAATCTTTCCGCATTTTGTGACGATGGTGGAGATACGTTAGTCTTCCTGTAAGCGTCCGCAGGCACACCTCTAGGACGAAGTCCGAGCATTAGGCTGTAGTTGATGGCAGGCAGCTTCCTTGCATTCGGCCGCCTCAGCTGCTTTGCCCGATTCTCACACACATCCTGTATCTGCATGTAAGTTTGGCAAGTAGCAAAGTTTTGAAGCGCCTGACTGCTCGCATCTTCTTTTGACTTCCATGCTTGCTCCTGCACATGGCAGATCTATGCAGATAATGGCAGAGTGTAGCCCAGCTTGGGCTCTGCCATCTCTGCCTTGAGCATGTTTGAGTGTGCCGCCTGATTGAAAGTCGTACATTCTGGTCATCATCCTTCTTTGCCCAGGGCTGCGGGCCGCGCGGCTGATGCCCGACGCCTGGCGGCGGAAGCGCAGGCTGGAAGCATGACATGCGAGATCTGATCTAAAGCCGTGCACCGCTGATTGCCCCCTAAACCCACTGTTTCAGGCCTTGCTGCACTCGCTATTCGAGCGAGCGCGCGAGGCAAGGTCCAACGAATGGCTGAGGGATGTGTCAGGGTTGCTGCTGTAGGAGAGACGACGGAAAGGAACATTACCTCCGATGTCTAATAATGTTCTCTTGGGACAGGTCTCGGCTCGAGGCATTGTGGTTCAAGCAGAGATCTCCTTGAGCAACCCGGACAAGGCAGTTGATCGCATGATCGCAATTCTGTAGCAGCTCTACGTAGTCGCCGACTCTGCACAATGCATACCCCTTCATCCCCGCCCCTCTGGCGTGCCGGCTAATTTTTTTGCGGCTACCTTTCAAGAGTCACTACGTCGTGTTGTCTCTTGCATGCTTAGATGCGACCTGTAGTTCCCCACCTTCGGTGTGGGGTTGTTAGATTTAAACTCAACTCTTCTTCTCGCCCGGAACTTTTCTCCTCACCCGGTCTACTCCTAAAGACTTTCTGGAGTGCCCAACCCCAGAGAGCGCCCAACCCCAGAGACTTTTTGGAGCGCCCCAGAGTCTCCCTAGAATGCCCAACCCAGCTGGAGCGCCCAACCCCAGAATCTCCAACCCCAGAGACGTTTCAAAGAGTCTCCCTGGAGTGCCCAACCCCAGAGTCTCCCTGGAGTCCCTGATCCCAGAGACTCCCTGGAGTGCCCAATGGAGCCAACTCCAGTTGTAAGCACATACTAAGAAAGCGTATTTGAATCAATGTCTTTGTTTGCACATGTTATTTGCGCTGTTTCCATTTAACGAGGAGCAAGGTGGGGATGTTCGAAGTATCATTATTTGTGCTTTTTCAGCTGTGGAGGCCTTGGAGATCGCCTCGGAGGGGTTGGTGGCCATGCAACAGCAAGGTGATCATTTGTCCCTTGCAGAGGCAAACCGCTGCACATCCAAGCACCCAGTGCTCGTTGCAGTCATGATGTAGATGTTGAAGGAACTCCGACACAGAGACACACACACACACACACACACACATGTCACCGCACGGCTCAGAAGGCCCACCGGCACATCGCCGCCGCGCAACTTGCCGCAAACATGCTGGAAGAGGCTTGGTCGGCTTCAGATGCTTGCGGACGCCCCGGCTGTCTGACTTCTCCTGCTCTGCAGGCTCGCCAGTCAGCCATGGCAGCGCACCGGGCTTAGAGAGGCAGGCCACTGAAGCTAGTGCTGCTCTCTGTGATGAAATTGAAGGATCAAAGGAGGCTCACAATTACACATCTGCATCTGGGCTAGATTCTTGAGGCCTTCTCAGTACTCGTACCTACCAACCTACCCTTGAGCGCCTCTCGACTTGACTCCACAGGCTCTCTACGGTCTGCAGATGTGTTGGGCAGATTTCGTCAGCTGAGGCGCAACTGCTCCGAGAGGTTGCTTGGCACCAGGAAGTGGGAGTGCAAGGCTGCCCAGAAGATCCCAGAAATATCGGAAGCCAAGCTGTCATAAGGCGTTTGAGTAGCATTGTTGATCCCTCACTTGGCTTTTGCATGCCTTTGCCAAAGAGCAGTTCTGGCTTCCTGCGGCGCAGGCTGAAGCACTGGAGCTGTTGGCTGAGCCAAGTCCTGAAATGTCATCTTCGCGTCTCTGCGTCAGCAAGCAGAGCATCAATGGCCAAGGATATGTCGTCAGGCCAAAGACTTCCAGGCTTCAAGCCCAGACAGGGAAGCTTACGAATCCAAGCAGGTTCTTGCAATTCAAGCGTGACACTACAAACTCTTTGCCTACCTACTGATCACACGGCCGACCGTATAGCTCCGTACTATTGCGTGCTAGCGAGATTGAACGACACTTCTGTTCGAGATCGGAGCAGAGAGATGTCCAAGGCTTAAAGGCTGTGGTGTGAGCCTCTGAGGCTATGACGCAAGCGGCTGAGGAGACTTTCTTGTGTAAGTGTTTCAGTGTCTATGTCAGGCCTTGGAGTTCCCCACGGTTTTTTCCCTTTAGAAGCCCGGGATGCATATGGTTGTTTACGATATCAGGGGGTACCTTACTGGGGTCCTTACTATAAGGGGATCCCTACTCTTGGGGGTGAACCATTAAGGGGTCCCTTGTTATCGTAAACCCCTAAATTACATCGTCGTACATGGCCGTAGGCCATGTGTCAGGAGCTGGCGGAGTGCTGCTGTGAAGCTGCCTGGCCCCGGCGCGAGGCACGTCTCGCTCACTTGTGGTTTGAAGTGGCAGCCCTAAACCCTAAACCCTAAACCCTAAACCCTAAACCCTAAACCCTAAACCCTAAACCCTAAACCCTAAACCCTAAACCCTAAACCCTAAACCCTAAACCCTAAACCCTAAACCCTAAACCCTAAACCAAACCTAAACCCTAAACCCTAAACCCTAAAACCCTAAACCCTAAACCCTAAACCCTAAACCCTAAACCCCCCTAAACCCTAAACCCCCTAAACCCTAAACCTTAAACCCTAAACCCTAAACCCTAAACCCTAAACCCTAAACCCTAAACCCTAAACCCTAAACCCTAAACCCTAAACTCTAAACCCTAAACCCTAAACCCTAAACCCTAAACCCGAGTTTCGAAACCCGAGTTTCGAAACCCGAAACCCGAAACCCGAAACCCGAAACCCGAAACCCTAAACCCTAAACCCTAAACCCTAAACCCTAAACCCTAAACCCTAAACCCTAAACCCTAAACCCTAAACCCTAAACCCTAAACCCTAAACCCTAAACCCGAAACCCGAAACCCTAAACCCTAAACCCTTAACCCTTAACCCTTAACCCTTAGCCCTTAGCCCTTAGCCCTTAACCCTTAACCCTTCACCCTTGACCCTTGACCCTTGACCCTTAACCCTTAACCCTAAACCCTAAACCCTAAACCCTAGCAGCCGCCACACTTGCAAGGGGTTTTCAACCTGGGTTGGTTCCAGCATGCCACTCAGGCTTCAGCGTTGCGCACTGCCACGCGCGGCCGGCAGCTGAGGGGGATGTATCTGTTGCAAGTCGACTTGCGCTGAGAGCCCGGTGACGCACCGGTCGATCTTGAAACTATGACGTGGGTGGGGGTGGGGGTGATGGTGGTGGCGAGGGTTAGGGCATAGTTGCATGGGCCCATGGGCCTATGACTAAACTGAATCTCGGCTTGTAGGTAGACCTGAATGATCTTGAATTGCGTAAGGCAGACGGAGACGTCGAAGCTGATTAAGTTTAAGTCTCACTGATTGGCAAATGAAACTATATACGCTGCAGTGGCAGGCGCCAAGGTTTTGAAAAACGTTGGACATGTCGTGTGTGTTTTTCGCCACAGTTGTATGGCCCCAGCGCTGATACCCCTCGGGTGCGTAGCAGTCTAGCGAATTCAGCGGCCCCTGCTCGTATCGCATATTGTAGTCTTGGGGTTGTACCGTATATGATGTGTACATTTGCAAATGTAGTACGCTAGCCTGTCTTACGTCAAGTGTACGTATTCGTGAGGACAGTATTGGCCGTCTGAATACCATGCTCGAGGCCAATTGGCGTTGCGAAAGCCTCGCCGTGCACTGGAGGCGGCAGGGCGGGTACGTGCCTCAGCGAATTTGCTCCACATGCCGCATAATCCTAACACTGTTAAAGTAAGGGAAAGTGCTGATCGTACGCACATCACCACCAGGCCATGACCCTCTTCCGTGAGACCGGAAACGACACAGCGGCGAACGAGATGAAGCTTCTGTTTGCCAGGGTGCGCCGAATTTGTGGGGCATGTGCTGAGAGACGTCGAACTTTGAAAGCTCTGCCTTTTGCCAGCCCAGATGCTGTTGGGGCCTCTAAGGGCCTCTGGGGATGGGACAGGCCACGGAGCTGCGGAACAGCATGCGCGATGCAGCTCGCAATGCAAGACAGGCCACCTGCGAGCCATTTCCGAGCCATTGCCATGTCTTGCGTACCTGTTTGATTCATGTTGCTGTGATATGGAGTGGTGCAGGCCTGGCTGCTCTTTCGCGAGAGAGGCGCCTTGCATAAAGATTTTCCGAACTTGAAAGAAGATGATTCACCGGCTTGAGATGCCACGATCAAACCATAGCTTTGCTTACTCACAGCAAAGAGTACACACAGGAGGAACACTTAAACGACAGGTCGTCCGCCACCACGCAGATGCCACACCGGCGTAGCTGTGAAACAATCACACACGCAGGAATCTCAAAAGACGTTGTGGGCACCATTTGGTACCAGGTGACCCGAGCCTCCTCTTTCAGGCGGCGAAGAGCTGCCGGGGACCTCAAATTTTTCCTGTTGCAACATGCTACAGCAAGGCTTTTGCAGCTTTTGCTGACGGCATATTGGCTGCTGTCAGACTTCTCTCAGGCCACGACGCCCATCATATGTTCGATGATGAGAATGTCCTTATTCTGGAGAAAGTGAAGTGATCTTCTCTCGCGCCAAGCAAAAAGTCTGGCACACTTCGCCATGTGCATGGAGCAGCGCATGCTTCCAAGATCTAAGGCGCTGGTGGTTTCCGTTACTTTTTCAGTCTTGCGCGTGACTTGATCTGTGGACTGCCTTTGGCTTGAAGCTACTTTACATTATGAACATGCCCATAAACCAGCCACATTACGAACTGCAAGCCGTAAGCATCATGTCACGACCAGCAAGCGGGGACGAATGGCCTCCATGATTCTCCCGACCTAACCCAAGACAATGCCTACCACCGCACAGCAATGCAGTGTCACTTTCGGGCAGCACAGTAGGGCACACAGGCTTGTCTGAGGTCATGAGTTCCTTGCCCGCGCAGGAGGCCTGTCCAAGAAAGTAGCCCCCAAAAGTCCAAGAGTCTCGTGACCTGATCCGAGCAGCTTCCTATGATCCGGTGTTTTCCGAGTCTGAGTATTGGCGAAAGAGGGGCAGGGACATCGTAAGCTGTTTAGTAAGGTGTGGGACATGCTAGGGCACAGTGGGGGTGCAGCGAGCCGACACAGCATGGTATTTGGTGTTTATGACCTCTCCTGGGAGGAGCTGCGCATGAGCGAACCGGTACGCGGCACAGCCCTGTCGAGCTTGTCGTTAGTTCTATGGCCGCGGGCAGCTACTCACTGCAACAGCTTAGATCACATCTCATCACGATCTGCTTGTTCGTTCGAAGTGTGTCACGACAACTGTCCTGGTGAGTGACGCCGCCAAGCAGCACACCTAAAGCAACCGGTGCCGAGTCGGCATGGAGCATAGTTGGAAGGTCAGTGCAGCGGCAAAGGCAGCTGACAAGGCAAAGGGAGCCGAGAAGAGAGAATGGATGTCGTACCAAAAGAGTAGCAGAGAGGAGTGGACGCTGCACAGGTGGTAGTATATAGGGCTTATGAGAGCACATGTGCATGTTCTCGACTTGTCACAGCAACTGTTTGAATATCAAGTTGGTTTGGTCCTTGCCTTTGCACAGCTCCAATCACTCGCCTCTTGCCTGCACAAAGCTTCTCTACGGGTCATGCTGCTTCACATTGCTGCATCTACTGTTGGCACGTTCTGCAAACAGCGCCGACTTGACACATGCCATCGCATGCCATCACATGCCCAAATTTCTTGGCAGCGATCGAGAGACCCAGCAGAACTGGTACTCAGCAGCCAGAACCTGCCCCTGCAAAACGCGGAAAATACGGCTCCAAGCGCTTCTCTCGATGCGCCGTTGACGCCGGCTGTGATCTAAACGGGTGTTTGCATGTGTTTGCGAGTCCAGAGTCCCGAGGCCGGCCATGGCTCCCCCCGAGATTGCCACGATCGCCGAGAAGGAGTCTGGTGCTGCCTTCGAGGTGAGAAGGGCTCACCGTTTCAAGACGCATGCTTGTGTGACACGAAGGCTGAGTGCTTCTTTTTTACTACGTACAATCTACACGATGCTGCACGAAACTCTTCGCATTCCAAAAGTGTTCTTGGCATGTTTGCTGCCACAGCTCCGGATCCTTGCAGATCCCATGGCCGCCGAGGTGCAGATCAAGAGCCCCGGTTCCGACAAGCTGCTTTGCTGATCCGAGTCGGGGTCAGCTTACCTTTGAGCCCGCACATGCAGCCAATTGCTGCGTAAAAGCTGCATCAATCGTGTGGGTAGAAAGGCTCCGCAGGTCCGCAGGTTTAGTCTTACAAGACTCGTACTAGCATCTGCCGCCTTCAAACATGAACTATTAGGAACGACGAAGTTGGGGCGCGGTTTGGTTTCGCAGCGACTTTATGTTGAAACGATTGTTTAGCCACTCATGCCTGACAATGCACTGGGCCATTTATGTGACTATGTCTTTTGTCCATCTGCGTTACTTTCTACCAGGGGTACAAGCTGCAGACAACCCCCGTCGCACTAAAACTAGGGCAAAGCCACATGTCGTCATAGTAGCTGCGCACGTCGGCGAGCAAGAAATCACAGACACCGGTGAGTTCGTTTTGCATGTGACTTCCCAAGCTATCGGAGGAGCCGCATGTCCCTTAGCTACCGCAGCAGCATGTGTTCTGAGACCAGCAACAACTTCGCGGAGCAGCTAGCACCTAGGTTCTTTGCTTTGTATACAGACCTGCTGCCTGCTAGTTATCACAAGGTTGAAGACTGCTGCGCGTCTTCGTCTGGAATCGTACGAGAAGAAGCCGATCACCCAACTGCCGAGCTTGGCCCTGAATAGAAAGTGTGAGGGTAGTCCGGTGCATGGTTTGGCGGATGGGTGAATTGCCGTTAGTGTTTCATGGCGTGGGTTCGGGTTTGGGAATGCAAAAGCCCAAGGCTGAGCTGTGTTTGGTGGTTTCGAGAGCTGGCTGACTTTTTCATAGCTGTGGTGGTTTGGTCTGCACAGTGCAGGCTTCGTCATGAAATACCAAAAGCCCAGTTGTCTGAAAGTAGACTTCGTCCAAGTTTTGGAGTGGGCTTCAGAGCCTGCAGATCGCACTTGGTTGGGCAAGTCAGGACACTTCTGGGTGCCCCCCGCAATCCGGCTCCTCTGCTCAAAGAGCAGCGTGCTGATAAGGCTCGGCGGCTACGGTATGGCGTGATGGGTTAGATTGCTGCAATGGGTCCATCGACAGAGGCCCGCCAAGCAAACGAGCAGAAGAAGGAGGCTGCTCAGCGTGTTCGTGATGAGTTCAAGCCTCTTGGCACGCAGTGCTCGTGAGGAAAGCGCCTAGCGCTTGATGCTGCCTTGGGAAGATGCTGTCAGTCGGCTGCCAATCCAGGACATCCGCCGAAGTGAAGCAGAAGACTCTGGAGCAGCAGCTGGAGAAAGCCGGAGAGAACCGTGAAGGTACAAAGTGTTGCAGAGGGGCTGGGAGGTCCGAGCTGTTTCTGTGTTTCGCAGTCTCTGTTTGAGAGGTGCCCTTGCAAGCATCAAGAAGAAGGCGGCCCAGCACATCGAAAAGGCGCGTGGCCTCTCAGCTTCGTCCAAGCGGGGGAGCTCTTGCTCCGCCGGTTTCTCGGCAGGTGATCGAGGTCAAGGACACATCGAAGCAGAAAGGCCCTGATCCTCGTTGTGAGCACATGTAGTTCAATATTCGGTTCAGGGTGTTGTCGTTGCTAAGCGACATGCGAAATCTTTATCCCTACTAAGCGACAGGCCTATCCCCAAACGAGGAGTTAGACTGAAAGCCGCAAAGTAGTCGTGTCAAACAGTCAAAAAATAGGTGACGAGGTGTGACCAGGTGACAAGGTGCTGAGAAGCTTTCTTACCAGCCTCTAGAAACCGCTTGTTGCGCTTCTTCTCCACGCAAGGCGAGATGACCGCGGAGGAGGCTCGCGAGCGCTTACAGCAGGCTTTGATGAAGAAGGCCTGGCTATCGTGGCGTTGAGATCATCCTCATTTGGCAATATACATGACAATGATTTGTTATCATCCCTCTGAATTTGCTCACCGTAGACCTGTAGACCTGTAGACATCTAGATCTACCTGTATTTCTGGCATCTGCTGGCAGTCTGACCTCCGCGGCGAGAAGGTGAAGGAAATCTCGGCTAAGGCAACCAAGCACAACGAGGCTGTAGCAGACAAGGCCGCGGAATGATCCAGCAGTTGACAGCTGTGAGGGTACAGAGTGCGGACTTATCCGACTTCTTGGCAACAGGTGCTGCAGCACAAGGAGGCCGCGGCGCTCAAAGTGGGACCTCTTGTGTGTCATAGTGCCAGATGGTCGATCTTTCTAAGGGCCCTAGTCAGCGGGCTAATAAATCGATGAAGGCTTACCGCTGCTTCGCATAATCCACTGTATGGTGCATTTCCAGTAGAACGCTTCTTCGGGTGACTGCCTAGGCCAAGGAAGGGGCCCTGGAAGAGCTGCGCAAGAAGACACCCGATGAGCGTTTGATGGACATGAGCTGCTCGGACCGCTTGGTCACTCCCAAAAGGGAGATGCGATCGATACCTTATATATTATAGGGGCTACTCAGGTATATGGGGACTATATAAGGTATGTATAAGGGTTATGTGCGGGAATAGATTACGGGTCCCTTCTGGGGCCCCTCCTCTTCCTCACTTCTTCACCTCTCTCTCAGTGAGGCCTGCGCCTCTACGAGCACGGCGCCCAGAGCTAATGCAACGAGGTGCACAAACATCGCACTTACCGCGTAGTTGCTGTCCTCTGAACGCCCTCCTTGAAACTTCATCCGGCCCCCTCGTCATTGAACCAAGGCGTTACTTCGTAGCGTTTTCGTCTGCCCCAGCCTTTGCATCTGGAGTCGTGAGCTTCAAACACTTCAAACACACCTTTACTCGTTGCTGCCAAGGAGTGAGAGCTCGACCATCTGGCTCAGTGAGGTGCAAAGCCATGAGCACCCTGAGGGTGGGATAAGGTGGGCATGTTCACGAAGTTCACAGGGACGAATTACTGTTCTTGACAATCTCACGGTTATTTCACTTTGTATCGACTTGTATTACTCCTTTTGTTCACCGTGTATGCCCGCAAGAAACAAGCGCCAATGCAGCTGCATGAGAATTCACCTTCTTGTCGTTCAGGAGAAACGATTTATTTCTGCTGGGGTTGTGCAGGACTCCCCTCTTAGCCATGTGTGAGGTGAGTTCTTCATTTCGCACGTTCATCAACCGAGCAGAACCCCGCAGGTAGGAGGTTGATGCAACTGCGCTGGAGAAATTCCCAGCCCAGTTGGTCTTGTAGGGGTAACATTCGCTCAACCTCACTCGAAGCACTGCTCCAGGAATGTTTCCCCAACGGACCGCATCATATTCAGCGCATCCAATGTACCCATACGCCATTTTAACGGCCTGCTTTACATGTGCAAGTGTCCAGAGTGCCTTGGCCAACTTGGGCTTCAACAACCCTAGGTCAAGCCAACTTCTGTCCGCTGTTTTGCCGTTTCTTTTCAAGCCCACCTAAGGCCAGGCCCAGTGTTTGAACTTGCAGAAAACACTACTGTAGCATGACTGTGGCTGGCACCTCTATGCTGCAACACCGAACCCCAAAAAGAAAGAGCCAACCTTGCCAGAAAACACTTGGCTCTTCCAGTGTTGCAGCAACTAGAGCACCTTGCCCAGTGAGTAGTGGATTTGATCAGGGATTACTTTGAAGGTCTCGCATCTGCACCTCGTGTGTAGTTCTCAGCTCCGCGAGATGTCCCCGACGTTCTCCCAGCGCCGGCGATCTTGCAGATTTGTTCGATGCTTCGGCATCCGTCTTCCCTGAGCTGATGCGATGGCGACAAAACGGGTATGACGCAAGAGTTTACGAAGTTTGGGGTGTGGGGCTTGGGGTTTGGGCTTGAACTTGGTAGCTGTGGAGGCCAGGCGCCATGGTCTTGACCTGCGGGGCCCGACAGCGCAGGCCGACCTGACACGTGCTGCTTAATGTTAAGCTCTTGGCTTGCATTCGCGCAAATGGAGGTTATAGAGGTAAGTCGGTAAACAGCAGCATTCCATGTCAGGAGGATTCAACTCCTGCGCATGCCCAGCTCAAGCTCCACGTTGTACATCTCGAGGACACTCGCGTGTGAATAGATTCGGCAAAAGGCTCTCATAATCCGCACCTCTTACTTTGGAGACAGTGACAGTTGACCTCGACTGCCAGGAGGTAGTGGGCCAAGTCCATGTCTGGACCTCCAAAGTGGAGGCTGGAACCTGCCATAATGTTCAGAGTTGCAGCTGCCTTGCTTGAAGCATGTCTTGTTGGAGTACTGGCGTGAGATCCATCGTCAATCGTCTCCACTTCACGTTCTCTGCCTCCCTCACTCATGCTCTTAGCTCAATTCTGGCCTTTTTTTGGTACCCTTAATGAAGAAGGGAAATACTCCAAAGGTGCCCATTGCTTAATCAACACCCACGGTATCTACCCTGTTTGGCATAATTGGAAATTGACAACGGCCTATGCAGCTGGTCTAGTTTCTTCCAATGCGCCATCGGTCAACCCATGCATCAAGTCTTAGCTTCTACCTCCGCTCTCGGTCCTGGGCACCTATTTCGCAAGTAAGCATCCTGTCCATCCCTCAATGCCTCCCTCCCTCCCAATCTATCCATCCGTCGTCCATCCGTCTGTCCATCCGTCTGTCCATCTATCCGCTTGGCTGTGCGCCTGTGCATCTGGCCATCTTTCCGAGCAATTCTAGGACATGTCTAAGCGCACCCATGAAGCTCATGCCGGGGGCACACCTTTTCTTGCTGTGCCACCTCCGTAGTTTTCGAGGCGGACGTCCTGGGCCTGACCAAGCGAAAGGAGGAGCTGGAGCGCCAGAATGAGGACCATGTGCTCTCCACACTTTTGAAGCACACTTTTGAAGCAAACAAGTGTGCGTTCAGCACTATTCTGGTCTCAATTAATGCTCCTCTCTCCATAGACTGACAATCAGATATCTGAAGCAAGGATGCCCAAAACCGCAAGAGAGCCCTAAATCCTGAAGACTCTGTGCACGTCTGTGCAGGCCCTTGCTCAGCGGCCAGAGCTGGAGAAGCGCGTGAAGGAACTGCAGGTCGGCCAGTTACTCACAGGGCTTTGGGGAAGTTTGGGCTTAGGCTCGGGGTTGGGGGTTTTCGGAGAGTTCTCTACGTGATGCGAATGACCTCGTGCCATGCGCAGGTTGAAGTCCAACAGTTGCACCAGCGTGCGCAAGAGTTGGAGACAGAGAAAGAGGCCGGAGTACAAGACAGGTAAGGAAAGAGCAATCTGCTTCAGAAGGTTCTCGGTTTGCTTGTCAGTTGTCCTGCTCAAAGTAGCTGGTTTCCTGAAAGTTGTCTGCGGGGTGCTGGCCTTGATGTTTCTGAGCTTCGCAGGCCATGGCTTCTGAGCGCCAGCGCCTGGAAGACCAACTCACTGAGAGCCAGGCCGATCCACGTAGCCACGCATGGGTGGGACATAGTTTGTTGCGACTGCGAGAAAGATTGAGAGGGTGTGGATTGGTGCCCAAGAATAGCATGCTACCGCCCCGGCTGCACTAAATGAAGTCCTGAAACTCATTCCGGACCCTGTGCGGCTGCATTTTTTTGGGAGGGTGAGGAGCCTTAAATTACCCGCCGCTGGGACTTGGCGCTGGAATGCGGCTCTTGCCAGGATTGCTGCAGCAGATCTTTGCAGGCATAGCCATAGCTTCACACTTGGCATCACTTGGCTGAGGCAAACTGCGTTCGACTGGAGGAGCGGGGAAAGACTAGTGGAGCCGCACATGGGAGACACAGCTGTAGGCCCTGTATGGCCCTGTAGGCCGTAGTCACAGTCGCCGCCATAGTCACAGTGGCCTTTTAGTCGAGTTGACAAGGAGAAGCTCTTTGTGCCGTGTGCAGGAAGAGTGCAGGCAGCACACCGCAGAAAGGGAAAGGAGGGCGGAGTTGGAGAAGCAGCAGGCAGGGGCCATTCCAGGAGTTTGCGATCGCAGAGAGTCGTGTTGTGATGGGACGTGTAAGGCGGATGTGGCACGCTCTTTTGCAGAGCTCCAGGCCTGTCATCTTGCCGCGATCAGTGACAGAGCAAGAACATGATCATAATCAGTGAATGGTCAGGAGATGTCAGGAGTGAACCCCGCAGACTCGCTTTGCCATTAGTCACCTTGCGTGCTGACCTGTAGCAGGCCGTCGTTGCTCAGCTCTTGCCGTGGCTCGGGGAGGCCGCCCCTCCCTTGTCTTGCATGTTCTAAGACACCAAAAAGTCCCGACATACTTTAGACTACATATCTGACGTATCTCATTCACCAACCTATCGCAAGCGCATGCGCGCACTTTCGTTTCTGCCCAGCTCGACACGCAGCGAGCGCGGCTCCTCGAGGAGAAGGGTGCGGCGGAGGCCGAGTGCCGGGGGGACGAAAAATGTACTACCTGACGTCACCATGGGGCCTGGGTACATCCCTAAACCCTAAATTTTCTGAGTACCCTAGTTGGGCAAATCACCCCCCTCAGATGTCCTCGAAAGGCCATGGCGACCTCCTTGCGCTCGGAGCTGCAGAGGTCGCGAATGTTCTGGGGCACTGCCGCTCGGCCGCAAAAAGTGGGTTTCGACACTGACGTGTTAGGCAGCGCAATCTTGGAGCTCTGTTACATAAGCTGTACTACTCCAGACAGCTCTGCCCAAACTCCAAGCAGCTCTCGAAACTGTGCACTTTGGCTTTAGGGGCTTAGATTCTTAGGTCCTATGAGCCATGGCGGAAAGACGTGCACGGCGTGTGCGCAGCGTCTGCTGAGGTCCCGAGCACGTCTGGGGGCGAGGCAGCTTGCGCAGCTGTCAGCTCCACAGTCTTGACTTGATTCAGATCTGTTTCGAATTTTTCTCATGGGCGCCATGTGTGGCCCCATCTTACCAGTGAGAAGTCTGAAAGCGTTGTAGCTTATCGCACCGATCCTTGCAGTTTGATTGTGACAGGCTTCGAGGCCCTCCTCCACTGGGCGCACGTCTTCACCCACGCGCGGTGGCCGACGTAGCGCAGGCAATGTCGATCAAAGCCCAGCATGGTTGGGTTCAGGCTTGCGTTCCTCTCTGTAGCACATTGTAGTCCATGACATAGTCTTTGACTTCTCAATACAGAACGTTGAAGAGGGACAGCGTGCAGCCTTGATCGAGATGCTCATCCCTATAACCCTAAACCCCAAACCCTAAACCCTAAACCCTAAAACCCTAAGACTGAACATCGACCACAGTTTGTGTCTCGGCCCGCAGGGAATCAGCGCCGAGCATCGTCCGCTGCTGGGGAGAAGCGCGGCGATGCCTGGAACCGACGACCAAGCCCCTGTAGACTAAGGCAGGGTTTAGGGTCTCGGGTTTAGGGTTTAGGGTTTAGAGGGTTGAGGGTTTAGGGTTTAGAGGGTTTAGGGTTTAGGGTATCTGTGCCGAAGAGCCTACGTGGGCGTTTCCTCTTGCCGGACAGCGTCCCCGCTGCAGGCTCTCTGCTGAACGTCCAGACTGGGCTGTTACATGGCCGCCCAACAAGGAGCACTTTTATGTTGCTCTAAGCAGCTCTAGCGACTCTCGTGAGGCCAGCACTCAGCTTTCCAGAGCTCGATAGCCTGGTGGAGTTAAACAGCACTGCTTAGATTTAGAAGTTGCGTAAGTCTTTGCAGACGTCTCAGCTACAAGGCTGTTGCTAGAAGGATCCAAGGCCCAGTAAGTTCGGAGGACGCAATCCCACTCCACACTTTCTGTGTTCTGCTCCCGCGCTGACACCAGGAAGCCGCAGCTGCACCAGGCGCACCAAGTTGGACAATGCATTCACTGACGGCTTTCAGGTTCAATAAGCAAGCCAAATAAGCAGCCAGCGCGCGGTGTCCCTGCTTCTCTCCTTCTCTCCTTCTCTCCTTCTCTCCTTCTCTCCTTCTCTCCTTCTCTCCTTCTCTCCTTCTCTCCTTCTCTCCTTCTCTCCTTCTCTCCTTCTCTCCTTCTCTCCTTCTCTCCTTCTCTCCTTCTCTCCTTCTCTCCTTCTCTCCTTCTCTCCTTCTCTCCTTCTCTCCTTCTCTCCTTCTCTCCTTCTCTCCTTCTCTCCTTCTCTCCTTCCCTCCTTCCCTCCTTCCCTCCTTCTCTCCTTCTCTCCTTCTCTCCTTCTCTCCTTCTCTCCTTCTCTCCTTCTCTCCTTCTCTCCTTCTCTCCTTCTCTCCTTCTCTCCTTCCTCTCCTTCTCTCTCTCTCTCTCTCTTTCTCTCTCTCTCTCTCTTTCGCTCTCTCATTCTCTCTCTCTCTCTCTCTCTTTCTTTCTCTCTTTCTCTCTTTCTCTCTATCTGAACTGTTCAGCTGGCTCTCTTTCCCAGTGCCCTCCTTGGAGCCTCGGAGGCGCTAGTGAGGTGCTCTTAGCCCTCAGCGCCGAGCTCGCCAAGGCTCTTCGACCATTGAGAACTCTCTGTTGTCTTTGTATTGAGAATAAGGCCACGCTCAGTCAGCTGCTAAAAAGCTGCTAAGCTCGGGAGAGTGCCATGGCAGGGTGTAATATGTTCTAATCCAGAGCAGCTGCAATTGCCCCAGCCAGTTGCTAGCC